GGATATCTACATAAAATGATATTATAAACACACTATCCTAAAAATACAGCACCATAGTTTAACCCTAAAGCAGTCACTGACTCGCAACAACTTGCAATCATAAGTGACAGAGTTAATTTCTGGTAAAATCAATGAAAATGGGGGTATGCCGATAGCATAAAAATGAGATGTGATAGAGCAAATCTGAGATCAGATTTTGAATAAGCACCCTGAAATTAGTCTAAAACAGCTGTAAAAGTCCAGGCCAGAAAAAAATATATATTTTTTTATGTTGACCAGTGAATAATCACTCCGCTCAGTGCACACGCCCCATTAATATTTATATATAAAATTAAAAACACACCGCTCAGATGTTCTCGTCTTGACAATCGTCGACATTGTGTAAACAGGTCTTTGTGTGTGCGTGCGTGCGCAGAGATTCCCTGTGAAAACTCAACGCAGGGAAAAAAAAAGAGCGCTAGCGAGAAAGAGAGGGAGGAGGAGGGGAGGGTGTGCGATAAACAGCCGAGCAATGTGCCGCTCGCGTGAAGGATTGTTGACAAGCAGCGGGGAGCACCGCTCGTGAGGGTGCAAGTACAAAGCCGCCACCTCGCTCAAAAGGCCACACACCCGTGAGATGAAATAAAGTTTAATGATTGTCCCCCCCCCCACCCCCACGCCGTCTTATGACAAGGGCCCCTTCAGCGGCCTCAGATCCCTACCGCCGTGAATTGCCTGGGTAAGGGAGGAAACTTCTGAATTTCTTTCAGGTTCGCGTGCGGCTCCGTTGTCCGCGTCGGTCGTATTTTCTCTGTTTTTTGTGTTTTACTGCGCCCGGTTTTTATTTTTATTTCACGGCGGTGAAGCGTTAGTGGGGGGGTGGGGGGGGGTGCTGCCCGCCTCGCACCGAGGCCGGTGGCTCGCAGTTCAGAACGCCGGGGAGTTCATTTTTTAAAAAAAAAGTGAATATTAAAACACGTTAATAAAAAAAGCTTCAAATCAAGATTAAAACACGTAAAAATGTTTACTTGCATAGTAAAGCAATTAATTGTATTTCTTCATTTGCTATACGGCCAGATGATGCAACATATCGCGAACCTTAAACACCCAATCGTTCGTCAACGTTGAAGGCGGTATAGTACTATAGTAATAGAGCAAGTGCAGAATCACAACTGCAATTGATAGCTTAAAAGCGTTTAGCGCGGGGGCCTTGAAAGTGCGGTGCCCGTAGCTGCACATGTAGCTACTTTTGCTGCGAGGATAATCCGGCACTGGTTCTGGGTTCGAATCCGGATCTCGGCAGCCGCCTGTGATTTAAAAATCCTGGTTGTCGAGTGGAGTTGAGATCTGATGGCCTCAAGGCCTCAAGGCGGTCACCAGGTCACGTGAGGGGTTGGATCCGTGGCAATTCTTGGGCGTCACGCCACAGAAAAACAGAACCTGGGTTCGATCCAGGCATCATCAGCACCACCAAAAACAACAAAGAACCCCCCCCCCCCCCCACCATGTAGCCTTAACAAACTGTAGGGGCAAGTGCTGTTAGCGGGCACCTATGAAGGCCGGCAAGGCACACGAGGACGTGAGTGGCCAGCATCCACTCCCGGCCGTCTTTGTCTCCCTAGCGGCGATGTTTACACTGCGCCAGGGACTCACCGCCATCATGTCAATCATCATCATCCGTTGTATCCCCGCCCCTCTCCCCCGCTGGGGTCGGTAAGTTGAGTACCACTTAGTGAAGCAACACCACCTGGTGTTAGGAATTCGGCTAATGAAAAGACTAACCCCGTCATAGGAACGTGGAATATTCACCATTAGCTAATGACCACCAGTGGAGACAGGCACTGTCCAACGCAATTTTTTTTTTAAGTGACACCGATTATTTTTTCTGTTTAGACACCAAAACAGTGCCAGCTATTTTGTGGCAAGGAGAGTAACACGGCTCAACTTTACCGATGATCCCTAGCGAAGGCGAAACAAATGTAGTTTGTACACAGGCGGAAGCTGGCATAACCAGTTAATAGGAAACAGATGAAACAGTGATTCAGAGTCCACTTTGCTTTATGGCTTTAAGATTTTACAGCTGTGGATTTTACGGCTATAAGTTTTAATTATTTTACGGTTGCCAGTGTTGTGGCAGTGTGCCAGGAGGTGCAGTGGTGTGTGAGTGAGAGAAGAGAGAGAAAGAGCACGTGGCCGACGATCAGAAGGTCGCAAGTTCAAATACAGGTTAGGGGTCAGTCACAAGCCCATCGTTCCTCCCAGGGACAAGCCAATGAGTTCAACGTTGCCGGGAAGTTCACAGTGGAAGTCACTGAGCTTTGCCCCGACCCCCCATCATAATAATCAGCCATGATCCATCCACTGCTGCATGAAGACGTTCTACGCCGTCGCCTCTATCCGTCGGGGACCTGCGATGCCAGTCCATCTCCCTTCTGCATGCGAGCCGACCCATTGATCCGTCTCCATAGTGGCCGCCGTCCTCTTGGACACGTTCTTGCCTTTGGGTGATATTTGCACACCTGTCAACCCCTTAACACATTCCTGCGGAGGCAGCTGGTAGGAACGTTGGGTTGCTCGGTCAATGGCCAGGGTCAACGGCGGCGTGGTGTATTCCGCAAATATGGCCGACTGTGAAGGCGGGCACAAGCCGGCGTGAGTAGGTTAAACGTTGAGTTTTATAAGGGCACCACGGGGTGACCAGCCCCTCCCCACCCAGCCCCTCCCCACCCTCCCCTCCCCACCCAGCCACAGCCTCCCCACCCAGCCCCTCCCCACCCTCCCCTCCCCACCCAGCCCCTCCCTGCACGACGGACACAATAATCCACTGTGGGCTGGTGTAACCAGGAGGTTCCGACCAGTATCGGTGCCCTACCTTATTACAGACCAACTCACACCTTATTGGTCACCCCATGTCCCCTTATACATCTCAACGTTCATCCTACAAAGTCGCATCACAAGGGAGAAACACAAAGACACATTTTTTTCCCCGTATCGAAACGGCTGTACGCCGTATGGACCCGAAAACTAAATTTCCCGGCACAAGAATACTGGGTAAACCGCATGGGTTGACACGGTATGGGTTTGATCAGTCTCCATCTCAGTGCGACGTGCCCGAACCCAAGCCCACTTAACCCTCCTCATCTCAACAGTCAACGTCTCTCGCGTCCTTTCCCTCGTCTCGCAGTGCACCTTCTGCACGCTAACCTCGCATGCGCGTCCAGCCCTTCTCCCAGTTCATTGAACACTGCCCACGTTCCCTGTTCGCCGTACAGTTTCCCTGCCATAGGCATGTGGAATTCCCACTGTTGCTTTCGGGGCTGTACATGTGAACATCATCACGCTCATTGGATGGTGGGGGAGGGGGGCGGGTACCACGTTGGTCTCAGCAGTGGGGGGTTGACCGGTCTATTGGACACTAAGACCTACACTGGGCTCGTAGCGTGTACAAGACGTCTTTGAACATCAATCACCTCCTACCCGAGGGGTCGGCGACCAAAATCACAAGAAGAGGCATTTTTTGTTCGAATCCCGTGGAGGGGGACGGGGACGGAAATACCTCAACATTTCAAGCACTTGACGCAGCAAATCTGGCTGTGACGGTCCCACCTGATGACGGAGACTTGTGTTGCCTCCGAAACGTCCTGATTTTTATAATTTTATTTTTATTCATTTTAATTTCATTTTTTACCTACGTGACTTTACCTAAAAAACTAAGAGTATGAATCCTTGCAGTCACGAAAGCTTCAAATCTAGAATGCCAAGCGCCGCAATGCGAGCGGTGGATACGGGGACGGGTCCGTCATAAGTAACGTCGCACCAAAGCGGTAACGAATACGGAGACGGCGGTGGGTTCAGCTGCTGACCCCTGACCTACGGTTAGGGTTGCCCCTCTGCTTAGGCAAACTCCAAACACTGGAACCAAACGCCGGCGTGAGCGGAGGGGTGTGAACCCTCTCGGCAAGCGAAGGGTCGACCGAGGACCCCCGCAGCATTTCCCAATCTTGAAAGCCCTTGCGAGAGAACGTATACGACACGGCGTATCAGTCGGAACGGTCTTTATTGCTCTGTGCAGTGAATGTGGAGAGCCTGGGCGTGCATCCGGGAGTCTTGCGCCATCCTACAGCCCCCTGGCGCGCCTGTTGCAGCTGATAAGCAAAACTTTTACGGCTGTAGCGCGATGGTTATAATGCCATTGTTAATGCTACGGCTGTAGTGCTACGGCTGTAGTTGCTGCAGGCTGTAGTTGCTGCAGGCTGTAGTTGCTACAGACTGTAGTTGCTGCAGGCTGTAGTTGCTGCAGGCTGTAGTTGCTGCAGGCTGTAGTTGCTATGGCTGTAGTTGCTACGGCTGTAGTGCTGCAGGCTGTAGTTTCTGCAGGCTGTAGTTGCTGCAGGCTGTAGTTGCTACGGCTGTAGTTGCTGCAGGTTGTAGTACTACGGCTGTAGTTGCTGCAGGCTGTAGTTGATGCAGGCTGTAGTTGATGCAGGCTGTAGTGCTACTGCTGTAGTGTATATGGCTGTAGCTGCTGCAGGCTGTAGTTGCTACGGCTGTAGTGCTGCAGTTGCTGCAGACTGTAGTTGATACGGCTGTAGTGCTACTGCTGTAGTGCTGCAGGCTGTAGTTGCTGCAGGCTGTAGTGCTACTGCTGTAGTGCTGCAGGCTGTAGTTGCTGCAGGCTGTAGTGCTGCAGGCTGTAGTTGCTGCAGGCTGTAGTTGCTGCAGGCTGTAGTTGCTGCAGGCTGTAGTTGCTGCAGGCTGTAGTGTTATGGCTGTAGTTGCTGCAGGCTGTAGTGCTGCAGGCTGTAGTTGCTGCAAGCTGTAGTGCTACGGCTGTAGTTGCTGCAAGCTGTAGTTGCTGCAGGCTGTAGTTGCTGCAGGCTGTAGTTGCTGCAGGCTGTAGTTGCTGCAGGCTGTAGTGTTATGGCTGTAGTTGCTGCAGGCTGTAGTTGCTGCAGGCTGTAGTGTTATGGCTGTAGTTGCTGCAGGCTGTAGTGCTGCAGGCTGTAGTTGCTGCAGGCTGTAGTGTTATGGCTGTAGTTGCTGCAGGCTGTAGTTGCTGCAGGCTGTAGTTGCTGCAGGCTGTAGTTGCTGCAGGCTGTAGTTGCTGCAGGCTGTAGTGTTATAGCTGTAGTTGCTGCAGGCTGTAGTTGCTGCAGGCTGTAGTTGCTGCAGGCTGTAGTGTTATGGCTGTAGTTGCTGCAGGCTGTAGTTGCTGCAGGCTGTAGTTGCTGCAGGCTGTAGTGTTATGGCTGTAGCTGCTGTTGGCTGTAGCTGCTGCAGGCTGTAGTTGCATCAGGCTGTAGTTGCTGTGGCTCCAGCTCGAGGTGCCGTAGCCCTGTGGCCACGTTACTTGTCAACTCAAACTCTTCCCCCCCCCCCACGGTGCATCGCTACATCAGGCGCATGCAGTGTGTGCAGTGTGGACGGGGTGCATTTACAAACATCTGCATCACAGCAAGATGACCTTGGCCCACCCGAGTCAATCCACTGACGAGGCCCCCCCCCCATGCCCACCCCACACTGTGTTGGTCGTAAACCCAGACTGACCAGCGTGGTGAAGTATGGTCAAACAACTTCCATCTGAGGCCTCTTCCTTCACCGGTTTGGTGCCGCATGGCTGTGAATGGTGCACCACGGACCATCGTCATTCTCCTCCTACTCCTCCCCCTCCTTTTCATCGTCGTCACCCTTCTCCGACTCATCGTCCTCGCCAGACGCCGACTAGTCCTTGTCGACGACACCGTCACCCTCGTTGTTTTACGAGTCTTCCCCGACCTCCTCCGCGCCGCGCCTCCTGTACTGGTACGAGAAGTCGAGCTTCTGCTCGCCGCCGCTGCCGCTGCCGCTGCCGCTGCTGCTGTGCAGACCGCACGTCGTTCAAGGGGTGCGCGGAGGATAGGTGGGGATGGATGGGGAGTCGACGGGGGGGATGGATGGATAGAGAGGTGGGGGATGAGCAGGGATGGACGGAGGTGGACGGGAGGTGAGCGGAAATGGACGGGGTCAGACGGGGAGGTGGGGGGGCATGAGCGGGCCTGGATGAGGAGGGAGGGGGATGAAGCGGGCCTGGACGGAGATGCACGGTGGATGGGTGGGTGTGTGGCTTTGTGGGTGGGGAGCCAAGTGGGCTGTGGGTGGGGTACCTCTCCGCGTCCCGCCGGAGTGCGCGCTCCGGCTTGTGCTTGCGTCCCCGCCGCTGCCTCAGGGACCCGCCGACCCTGTGGCTCAGCTCCTCGTCGCTCGAGTCCCTGCGGAGCCACCGGAGCGCCACAGAACGCGAGCTCGAGTGCCGTCTTCTTACAAAATCACGGCTTTACCATTTTCTCTCTCTCTCACGTTTTTACTCTGAACGTGTCGCCGGAAGCCGCGTCGGCGCTGACGGAGCGTTCGTCCGTAACGCTCGGGGAGCGGAGCGGGTGGGTCGCTCCCCCCCCCAACGTGAGAATGGCAACGCGAGAAGCGGATATCACGGAACTGCTTCCGAGACCCCTTCTAAGTGATTACGGTCCAAATGAAATGTTTTAGATCGAAGACCCATTTCTGTAGAACCGCTTTTTGTGTTTAGTTTATTGTCCTTCCACCGCACCGTACGTGCTAACCTCCGATTAGCACGTACGGTGCGAAAGAAGTTCAACGTACACACACACACATCACGTTAACAAGGAGAGCTGCTCACATGACTTGGCTGAGGTCGGAGAGGTCACCGTAGTCCGCGGGGCTCATGCACAGTGTGCACTGCTTCAGCTTCTCCATGCAGCCGCTGCAGTAATATCCTGATGTGGGGGGGGGGGCGGGGGGGGGTCGTGGGGTGGCAGTGGGAAGGGTAAGTGATGAGACTTTTTAAAAAGAAAAATTCTCCAACTTTGTTATCAACACTGCTGTCCCAGCAGACGCAGGAAAATGAAAACTGACTTTGGCACTGCTGCTCCTAACTCTTAATTCTTAACTCTACACCCTTGCCCGAACTCTAATTCCTAAATACAAACTCTACACCCTTGCCCTAAAGCCTCATCCTAACCACCAACCCGACGTGAAATACTACATTTCCTTAGCTGAGAGCTAAACGAGCGGCAATGGGCAGGGGACCACTAATGGGAAGGCGTGAACCCTGGTTGAACGCCTGCGATTGGAGGCACATTTTTGCGTCCAATCGCACCGTCGAAATTTCCGATGGTCGTTGCCCGCACCCCGACTTGCCCATGCATCCGGGCACGACGCAGTACTTGAAGGAAGAGCCGGAGTGCCTGGTGGCCGGGCACGCGCACGCCATGCAGTGCTTCTCGTAGATGCCCAGGAGGTTGACGATCGGCATCAAGCACGTGAAGCTGCAAATAAAAGGCAATTTTTGACAACGACCACCCCACGACGCGCTCCCGCCACGCTGCGGTACGGCTCGATATCTGGCGGCCAGACGCTCGCTAAATGCAGTTGGCCAAACCTCCCAGGAACCGTCCTGGTAGTGGGGCAACACCTCAAGGCTCCACACGGATGGATTCAAGAATCCACAGCTGTACCGCCATCTACTGGCCACGTCATGGTCCAGGCCTACAGCGCTTGCTAGTCCCCGCAGAGTTGTCCATCCCATCCGAGTCCTCACCAGCCTCAGCTGAGCTTCCAGGGTGATTTGGTCGTAGGAGTCTCGAGTACCTCCGACTCATCTTCTTGGTTCTTTCGGTAAAGTCACGTAGAAGAAAAAACAGATGCTGTCTCCCCGACAGACCTGGTCTTCACCTGAGGACGGCTGCTTGCGTTGTGGCCGAAACGTCGTGAGAATAATTTTATTATGTTTTATTTTTATTATTTTATTATTTCCCTTCTACGTGACTTTACCGAAAGAACCAAGAAGATGAATCCCTGCTTTCACGAAAGCTTTAAATCGAAATTATACCTCCGACTCGCTCGCTGCGGCTCTGACATCGGAGCCGTGAGCCATGTCTATACGTGGAGGGGGGGGGGGGGGGGGAGGGGGGGAGGGCGGCGCGAGAGTGGTGACGCCATGCCCACCGTGAGGCCAGGATGAGCAGGAAGCCGGAGTGACTGCCGTCCTTGGCGTTCTTCCGGATTGCCCTCCACATGGACTTGAGCTGGCCGGGCCGGCGGCACAAGATCTTGTTGTAGAGGAACAGGACGCGTTCCTGCGGGGTTCAACGGAACTAACTGCATGCGACGTGCACTCGTACAGATCTACTGCGGGTGTTATCAGGGATTCAATTCTCACTGGATGTTTTACCGACTCGCTGGACTCATGGTCCCCGGCCACATTGAGGGGTTTATAATTTATGAGGTGTGCCGCCCGCAGACGTAATTTCCAGGTCGTCGACCGATTTTTCGGCGCCAGTGAAGACGTGCACGACCCCTCGCTCTTCTCTCTCTCTCTCTCTGTGTGGCCGAGTGCCGCCCCTTAAATGGGCAACCCACAATGCACCGCGGCGCAGCCACTTACTCGCTCCCTGACGGGGTAGTAGTTGGAGCAGACGAGGCGGCGCAGGCGCATTCCGTACACCTGGAACACGGTCACGAATAATGCCAGCCCGAACATGGCGCCTACACAAAAACAAAGACAAACACCCCCGTGTAGCCTTATCAGACTGTTGGGGAAAGTGCTGACAGCGAGCACCTATGAAGGCCGGCACGGCACACGAAGGGGCTGGATGACTAGCACCACACCCGGCCAACTTTGTCTCCCTAGTGACGATGTTTACACACCGCACGAGGTGGTCATTTGAGGAGGTGGGTCCATAATAAGTAACGTCGCACCAAAAATAGGGGAGGCCCAAGACTGGTTTAGATAATCGTCACTGGTGTTGACCATGAGTGGGATTGCTGGGTTCATAGCGCAGCGCGCTACCACACTGCCAAACGTTGGAATTCTCTACCATCATCTGCGACCGTCTGGAACGCTCTACCTTCCGATATTAGGAATCCACTGGAGTTGTGCACTTCTAAATCTATAATGAAAACGTATTTATTTAGAACTGCTTTTTGTGTTTAGTTTGTTGTCCTGCACCCCCACCTCCGATTAGTACGGAAGGCTATGTTACGGTGCGAAAGAACTTCTACATAGATACCCTATCCACCCCTCAGCCTCTCACCGATGTGGAAGATTCTTGCCACGGGGAGGTAGCTGGGGCTGGGCGCGCACTTCTTGGTGATCACCTGGAACTGGCCATCCTGCAGCGTGTCGAAGGCTTCCGCCAGCACGCTGAAGATGTTGGCCATGATCCCGTCGCCCTCCACCTTCAGCTTCATCTTCACGGGGGCTGCGCCACGCACGCAACGCACGCACACAAACACGTCGTAGACCTAGCCGCTACGCAGGTGAAGCCGACTTTTGCACAAGTCGTCTTTTCATCGTTATCATTGCTGACACGCGGTAAGATATCGGACGATAACCAGAGTTGAGCCTGACGAGTACGCGGATGAGAGGCATGCCTGGGCATGGTAGGTGTTGCAGGCCTGGGCTTCGGTCGTGGCCAGGAGGTGATAACACAGCATTGGATTCCCAAATATGGCCTTCAGTGCAATCCCCACATATGTACGCATTTTCTCCGGGTGCTCTGGTTTCCTCCCACAAAGCCAAACGCTTTCCCTGCACCTCCGATTAGCACGGTTGGCTACGTACGGTGCGAAATAAGCTCAGCATGCGTACGTACGTAATCGTTACTGGCCAAATATCCTAATGCAGGGCCCTCCTGAAAAGAGTTTGGAGCCTCAATGTAGGCTTCAATTTGATCGACGAGTCGGCATGTGGCATGGCCCGGCGTGGCATCAAAGCGCAGCGGAGCGTATGCACGTATGTTGAATTTCTTTCGCGCACCGCACGTGCTCAACCATCAGAGGTGCCCTCATCATCGCAGCGGTGGATCGACACAAGCGCCGTGCGTGACGTCGCGCGACGCGGCGTGACGAGCAGCGCCGAGGCTCACCCTGGGCGAACACCTCGACGGAGAGGAACTCGGCGACGGTGTTCAGGATGCCGTAGACGCCGTGGTCGAGGCAGATGAAGAAGACGGCGTAGAAGAAGCAGCCGAGCCACTCCACGAAGTTGCTGCCGAAGATCTCCTTCTCCTCCAGCGACATGTACGGCGAGCCTGCGCGATTCGCGTGCGCAGAGCCCGCAGAGGCAAAGGTCCCCCCCCTCTATATTCTTAGGTTTTTTCGGTAAAGTCACGTAGGTAAAAAATGTAAAATAAAAATTTATAAAAGTAAAATAAAAATCACGACGTTTCGGAGGCAACACAAGCGTCCATCTTCAGGTGGAACCGTCACAGCACGATTGCTGTATCAAGTGAGAGAAATTCCAAGAAAACAGTCCTTGTATATATACTGGTTGAGGGTTGGAGGAGCCAAGGTAGGCCCCTGGATATTATTATTGTGAGGTTCGGTGCGGCTGAAGCACGCTGCTAGGAATGAGCCATTGTTGTGTAGACTGGTTGAACTCGGAGGTTCCAAGAGTTGGGGCACAATGCTGTTCGCAAGCAACTGTCGAGACCGGCACGGCGCACAAGGGCGAGGTTTGGCCAGAACCACGTAACGCGCCCGGCCACCTTCGTCTTCCCAGCGATGATGTTCGGATACCGCTCGGTGCTGATGTCGGCCGCGGCCGGGGGATCGAAACTCTGGCTACTGGGTTTGCAGCACAGTGCGGCAAACACCGCGCCACCACTCCCCAGACATACACAGACACGCTCGCCACATCGTGGCAACGGGGTCGGTGATGGTGTGACGATGCAATTGTCGACGCTGTCAGCGATGCCGGCGACGGCGGTGTGATGGTGACGGTGAGGGTGTTGTAATAGCGATGTGACGGTGTTGTCAAGCAATGTGGCAGCATTGGCGAGGGAGGAGATCACGGCGGTGGTCGTTGCTGCTGTGGTCACAAGCGACCGTCGCTGGCGATGGCGGTGCTGCACGTGTGTGGTGTGTGTGTGTGCGCGTGTGTGCGCGTGTGTGCGCGTGTGTGCGCGTGTGTGCGCGTGTGTGTGCGTGTGCCTGTGCGCGTGTGTGTGCGCGTGTATGCGCGTGTGTGTGTGTGCGTGTGTGTGCGCGTGTATGTGCATGTGTGTGTGCGTGTGTGTGTGCGCGTGTATGTGCATGTGTGTGCGCGTGTGTGTGTGTGCGTGTGTGTGTGTGTGCCTGTGCACGTGTGTGTGCACATACGCGGCGTGATGTAGCGCGACGCCTCCCCGCGGTTCAGCGGCAGCAGCGACTCCTGGCCGAGGCGCGTGCGGATCAGGTCGACGCGCACGAACCGCTCCGTGATGTACACGTTGTCGAAGTCGTCGCAGTACAGGAAGTTGTGTCGGTAGTACAGGCACCTGCCGGCCGGTCGCTCACTCAGTCAGTCGCTCCGCGTCCTTTATATTCAACCAATGAGTGAGGAGGCACAGAGATTTAAATCTTTCTTCGGATGGGGGTGGGGGGCGGTGGTGGTGGTTGGTGGAACCGGCGGGGGGGGGGGGGGGAGACGACCGGGCGCTCACCTTGCGAAGAGGTAGACGATGGCGACGAAGGCGACATCGGTGAAGAGCGCGATGACGTAGTCCAGGTACACGGTGCGGCGGTTCACCTCGGCCATGATGCTGCGCGCGATCTGCGGCGCCGAGGCGGAGGCCCCGCGGTCCATGCTGAACTTGTGGTGCACCGACAAGTTGAAGGCAAACTGGTTCTTCATCTCGTCGAGCTTCCTCCCGATCGCTGCCCCCATAGGGGCACGGGAAGCAGCGACAAGTCATTCATACAGAGCTTCATGTGGAGCGTCGACTTTGAATGCAAACCGCCTTCGATCCAAATCGCCCGGCGTTGTGCCAGATGGCGCCACATCTCGTCAGATCCCGGAGGCTAAGCGGCGTTGAGCCTGGATAGCGCTCGAATGGGCAGGCCGCGGGGTCAATAAACCCCCCGGGGATCGACAGCAGATTGAGAAAGGACAATAACTTAAGCTTTAATCTAGATTTGAAGTTTTATGCTTTGTGATAATATGCTGAGGCTGTGTTAAGGCGGCAGAAGTGGCCAAAAAACCCACACACAAACTATACAGAAAGAAACAACAACGACAACTTAAACGGCACATTGAACAACTTGGCCCCCGAACGAGGCTGCGCACGTGCGTGCAAAAAGCGTGAATGGCACTTACAGTCGGACACTTTCTCTTGGATGAAATTCTGAATTTTTTGAGGCACGAGGCAAAACACCTTCCCCACTGGGCAGCGGAGAGAGAGGACGAGACAAGATGAGCGAGACAACAACTTCCCCATCGCCACCACTCTCGCCACCACCAGCGTCATCGCCAACCACCGAAACACCACCCAGCATCACCCGCCATCAACAATCGCCCGCTGCCACTGCTCACCGCCGTCGCCACCACTATTAACATCGCCACCGTTCCTAACCACCAACTACCGCCATTCCCATAACCAAAGACAAAGATTCCGCTGTGTAGCCTTAACAGACTGTTTGGGCAAGTGCTGTTTGCGAGCACTACGAAGGCCGGAACGGCACACGAGGATGTGGGTGGCCAACACCACGCCCGGCTGCTTTAGTCTGCCGAGTGGCCATGTTCACACACCGCACCAGGTACTCATACTTAATTTGGAGCTTTCGTGACTGCAGGAATTACTCTTTGGTTCTTTCGGTAAAGTCACGTATAAAGAGAAAATAATAAATTCAATACCAGCATACGACGTTTCGATTGCAACACAAGCAATCATCATCAGGTCTAAATGAAATAGAAACACAAATCTAGGATACTTAGAAATGTAATGTAATACAACAGAGAGTCGGATAATATAACAGTCAACACCCTACGTAATCAACCGGGTACTCAGTTGAGGCTGAGTCGACCTAGACGGGGGGGGGGGAGGGGGCCCAGGACCGGGTTCAGATAATCGTCACTGGCGTTGGCCGTGAATGAAACTCGGGTCGCCGGGTTCGTCGCCACCAACCGCACGCCACCATCACCTGCCGTCCATCACCAGAGCTCCGCTCCCGCCCCCCCCCCCATACCCCCCGCTCACCTTTGACGATCTCGCACACCCACTTGACGCTGTTGACGATCCCGCACACCCAGTTGACGATCCAGTGCAGCTCCTCCTTGCATTTCCTGTAGCCGTCGTCCAAGCCGGCCAAGCATTTCTGGTAGGGGTCGTCGAAGATCTTGTTGCAGTTTTCACCGACGTTCATCAGCCAGTCGACGGCATTGCAGATGGACGTCCCTGCGAAAGGAGGACCACGAGAATGGGTAAAGCTTCCAAACGTCTGGCTATATCAGTGCCTACCTTGTTACAGGCCAATTCAGACCTTATTGGTCACCCCGTTCATCCTACAAAGTCCCCATCACAAGGGAGAAACACAAACAAATGGACAAAAAGATTTTGCCCCCATTGAAACGGCTGTACGCCGCACGGACCTGAAAACTCAATATCACTGTTAAAGAATCCGGGTAAACCGTATGGGTTGACAGCTGTGTGCGTGCGATGTGGCCGTGTGCGCAGCGCTCGCTCACAGACGAACATGACCCCCTCCTTGATCGCCGTGAATATTCTCCCCACTTCGCTCGACAGAGATTTCAGTTTGCCCGACACCGTCTCGATCTGGTCGATCATCCCTGTGGGGGAACAGGAGAAATGGTCACAGAGATGTGCACACACACGCACACACACACCCACACACACAAGCACACACACACGCACACACACGCGCACGTCTATGCAACACAAAGACAAAGAGATCGCCCGTATAGCCCACAGACTGTCGGGGCAAGTGCTGTTAGCGAGCACCTATTAAGGCCTGCACAGTACACTAAGGGGTGGGTGGCCAGCACCACTCCCAGACACCTGTGTTTCCCTAGTGGCAATGTTTTTACGCACCGCACCAGGTACTCATTTGACGCTGAGCCGACCTAGGGGGAGGCCCAGGACCTGTTGGCCGTGAGCGGGAATCGAACTCGGGATTCCAGGTTCGTAGCGCAGCGCACTAACCGCTACGCTACTGCTCCTCCTATGCAACACAAAGCACACACATACACACGCCTATGCAACACAATCCCCCTTACAGAATGTTGGGGCAAGTGCTGTCAGCGAGCACCTATGAAGGCCGCCACGGCACACGAGAAGGTTGTTTGTTATCGCACTCGGCACTAATTTGAGGCCGAGTCGACATCGGGGAGGCCCAGGTCCGGTTCAGATAATCGTCACTGGTGAGCGGGATTCGAACTCTGGTCGCTAACCACTACACTAAACAAACATGCACGCACACGTGTCTACACAACTCACACGCGCCGGACTGAATGCATGAGCACGCGCGCACGTGTACAGAAACACATAAGCGCACGTACACACAAAACGATGGGTATGCACATCTTGCATAAAACGCATGCGAACTTACACGCGTAAAAAACACACGCATTCATAAATACAGGTGTGTATGTGTGTGTGTTTCAGATTGAGGTGTGGGTTACAGTTGTGTGTTACAGGTTGCTGTGAAGAACGGTAGTGTAGCGGTTAGCGCTACGCTGTGCTACGAACCCGGCAACCCAAGTTAGATTGCCGCTCACGACCAACACCCAGTGACGATTATTTCAACCGGTCTTGGGCCTCCTCTAGGTCGACTCAGCCTCGAAATGACTACCTGGTGCGGTGTGTAATTATCGCCTCTAGGGAGACAAAGGCGGTCGGGTGTGATGCTGCCCACCCACCCCCTCGTGTGCCGTACCGGGCCTTCTTGGTGCCCGCTAACAGTCTGTGTCAAAGGCTACACGGCGGGGCACTTTGTGTTTGTGTTGTGAGCGGCTCTGACAATCTCTGGAATCGATCTCAGGAGCTTCAAAACCGGACGAGAAGCTCCCTCTCCTGGGCATGTGGCCGTGCGGCGGTCACTCATCATTCGCCCGTGCGCGCGTTTCCCTAGCAGCACTTGTGCGTGCGCTGCCCGGGTGCCGTCGCGTGCACCGCGGCCGGGAGACGCGGCGGGGTGGTGCCACCCACCCAAGAGCGGTGTGGCCGCCCTGCGGATCATCTCCCTGGTCTGGTTGGTGGCCATCTCGGCCCCGCAGGCCATGGAGGTGGCGAACGCTTGGAAGTTGTTCTTGATGTTCTGCGCGGGGCCCCTGGCCACCGTGAGCATGGCCATGGAGATGACGGCGATTCGGCCCTCCTCTGCGACGACACGGAGTGACGGGTGCGACATCGTTCAAGGCGTTAAAGCGCGTGGTGACGGCTCCTTAATGGCTCCTATCGTTATGAGACCTCCTTGACCAGTGGCAAAATATAGTAGTAGGTTTTTACCCTTTAAACTGGTACAAAACTGACACCTTTATACAAGGCATCATGTTTGATTGGTCCACACCCGAGACAGCTGTCTGGGGTGTGGACCAATCAACTTCAAGGACAGTGCATATCATTACCATTATCAGAGTTGTTTCTTTTTGTTTGCATTTTGACTGCTTGTGTTGCGGTTATTGCAAACATGATGCCTTGTATAAAGGTGTCAGTTTTGTACCAGTTTAAAGGGTAAAAACCTACTACTACGGCTTTTATCGTGTTCATTTTTTCTTACTTGGGTGGGTGGGGGGCACAAGAGAACCCTCCAATACCTTTGCAACTGAGCACGCTAAAAAGAAAAGGTAAGGCAGCATGAGAATGACGAGTTTCTTTATTCCTGTTGCTCTATGCCCCCCCCCCCCGCCGCACCACCCCGTACCGTTCCCGTTGCGTCGTATCGTGCACCGGTGCCCACTTTAATGAGGGGGGGCGATATTGGCAGATGAATTGAAGATCGGCCGACCGAAGCTCGCGCACTTACTGGAGAAGAGGTAGGGCAGCATGAGGATGAAGGCGGCGCGCACCGTCAACGAGAAGGCCATGCCCAGCGACAGGAAGGAGACGACCACGGCGGTGACGTAGGTGCACGTGGTGATGTCGTAGCCAAAGTCGAAGGTGATCGTGTAGAAGAAGAAGACGCCGATGATGAGCCCGAGGAGGAAGGCGCACACGCTGTGGGTGACCATCCACAGCAGCGACTGCATGCCCCCCCGCCCGCTGCGCTTCTTCTTTGTCAGCCAGGTCCTCTGTGCAAAACGAGGAGGGTTAGCGGCGCAGTCTTCATCAACGTGGAGCCTTTACAGAGCAGCGTGGAACCCGCAGTGGAGCCGCAGTGTAACCACCGTGGGGCTCGGAGAGAGCACGGTGGAACCACATTAGAGTCGCAATGGGGCCCATATTAATCACCATGTAGCCGCATGGAAACCCGTATATAGTACAGCGGAGCCTCAATAGAGCCACAGCGGAGCCTCAATAGAGCCACAGTGGAGCCTCAATAGAGCCACAGTGGAGCCTCAATAGAGCCACAGCGGAGCCTCAATAGAGCCACAGTGGAGCCTCAATAGAGCCACAGTGGAGCCTCAATAGAGCCACAGTGGAGCCTCAATAGAGCCCCAATGGGGCCTCAATAGAGCCCCAATGGGGCCTCAATAGAGCCACAGTGGGGCCTCAATAGAGCCACAGCGGAGCCTCAATAGAGCCCCAATGGGGCCTCAATAGAGCCCCAATGGGGCCTCAATAGAGCCACAGTGGGGCCTCAATAGAGCCACAGCGGAGCCTCAATAGAGCCCCAATGGGGCCTCAATAGAGCCACAGCGGAGCCTCAATAGAGCCCCAATGGGGCCTCAATAGAGCCACAGCGGAGCCTCAATAGAGCCCCAATGGGGCCTCAATAGAGCCACAGTGGAGCCTCAATAGAGCCCCAATGGGGCCTCAATAGAGCCACAGCGGAGCCTCAATAGAGCCCCAATGGGGCCCATGTATAGCGCCATGGCGCCGCTAGGGAGCCATCATACAGCCACCACAATGAGGCCAAAGAGAGCTATCATGGCATTATCACGGAGCCATTATGGAACCACAGTGAATCTACCACATCGCTAAATTATGGAGCCACCAAAGTGTAACAATGGGACCACAACGGTCCCTCCCTCGAGCCACAATGGAGCCCTCTATAGGGCCACAATGGAGCCTCAATAGAGCCACAATTAAGCCTCCGTGAAGTCACAATGTCCTCCATTAAGCCACAATGGAGCCATAACAGCAGCACGAAAGTGCCCATATAACGCGACGTCGATGGAGCCCAGGCAGTGCCGGATAATCCCAGAAGCAAAAGTAGCTACATACGCTACGGGCCCCGCACTTTCAAGGGCCATGCGCTAAATGCGTTCAAGTTATCAATTCCGGTTCAGTGATTATGCACTAGCTCTATTACTATAGTACTATACCGCCTTCAACTTTTATGAACGACTGAGTGTTTAAGGTTCGCGATTTGTCGCATTATCTGACCGTATAGCAAGTGCAAAAATACAATTACTTTACTGCGCGAGTTAAAAATTTACGTGTTTTAATATTTACGTGTTTTGGTTTTATTCAGGGCCCCTTCATATAACAACATATGCCTCGGGCCCCGCACTAGCTGAATCCGGCACTGAGCCCAGAGGCATGCAGCTTCAGCAGCCCCATCACCTTGATGCGGTCGGCCCTGGCGCAGTCCATCGTCTCGCACACGCGGCAGCAGCAGCAGCAGCAGTCGAGGCAGCCATCCCAGAGGGTGAAGTTCTCGGCCAGGTGGGGGAAGCAGAGGGTGCGGACCCAGCGCAGGGGCCCGATGCTCAGGATCACCTTGAGGGCCCCAGCAGAGAGCCACCCACAAAACCACAGACAAACATTCCCCGTATATCGATAATTGAGGGGGAGAGAAGTTTGTTTGTTAGATCGCGTACATATGTGTCGTTAAACCCGCCACCACCCGGCACAGCCAATGAACGAGGCTTGTACAGCACACCGGTGTGTCGGAGAGCCACATTTGATGAGGCTGATTGCAATTACTGGCGAAACGTCGCACTCGAATTGTAAATGTTTTTTGCTTTACTCTCCGACACACCGGTGGTGCTGTACTAGAGGAGTAGTGTGAGCAACCACGAGGTGGCATACAGAGGAAGGTGCGAGCGAGTTGACAGCGGAGGATGACGTCATGTCACGGGTGCTGTAAGGGGGGGGCACCTTCGAGAACAAAGGCGGGGCCGAGTTAGGGGGAGGAGCCGCCCAAGGGGTACTTAAGGGAGACCCGTGACGAGGGCGTGGTCGTTGTGGGAGCTCGGGGCAAGGATCGGCTGCAGGAGGTCTCTCCCGCTCGTCGCCGGACAGTGTTGGCTGAACCCCCGTCCGGGGCAGACGAGTGGGAGAGCCGAGGGGATAATAGCCGAGAGCGGGGCTCCAAGTATTCAGTGAGGATCGGCTGAGAGAGAGTGGGTTCTTCTCTTCTCGTTGCCGGGCGGTGTTGGATGAGCCACCGCCCCGGCACCGAGGGATAGCCGAGGGTAGGACGACAATGGTGTTCGGGGGTCCAGGTTAAGGACCAAGAATAGAGAGCACCTACCCCTGGTGTGAGCTTGAGTGCTGAATGTAAGTGTTTAATAAACGGCAACAGCCCTCATAGTAAATTCCGTCTCCGTGTGGTTCTACAATACAACACTAGAAACGAATTGGTACGTTTTATGTACGTTTGCATAATATTTGTCGCGAAAGTCTACTCGTTAAAAACCACCGTATAGCCTGAACAGACTGCTGGTGCAAGTGCTGTTAGCGAGCAGCAACCCATGAAGGGCCGCCACTGTGGCACACGAGGGGGTGGGTGGCCAGCGACCACGCCCGGCCGCCTTTGTCTCCCCAGTGTCGATATTTACACACCGCACCAGGTACTCATTTTGAGGCTGAGTCGACCTAGGGGAGGCCCAGCACCGGTTCAGATCATCGTCACTTGGTATTAGCCGTGAGCGGGAATCAAACTCGGGTCGCCGGGTTCGTAGCGCAGCTATATAAACAGAGCCGGTTCGAATCAAACGACCGCCTTGGGTAATAACGACAACAACGGTACACAGCACGACAGCTGCGTGCAAATACAGGACGACGACAACTACTACTCTGGTACACGAGGACAAAAAAATCAGAATAACTCTGATCCTTTCTGGCAATAAAGCGGTGTTCAAGATGTTTCAAACACCAAATTGATACCCTTTGCAAAGCATTTCTCAAACCCCCCCCCCCCCGTCACACATCGGTCACAAATGTCTGACCCCCCCCCCTAGGTGCGTGACGTCATTTATGGACGGCCCCTTATGGCAATAAAACAGGTGTTAAGATGTTTAAACACCAAATAGATACCTTTTTTCAAAGCGTCAAGTCTGCATTAACCACACGCACTCGTTGCCGGAAAGGGTCAGACTGATTTTTATTTTTTAAAGTATAATTTTGATACTGGCAAGAATATCCCACAAGATACTAGAGGACGCACAACGACCTTGCTGGTATCGTCAAGGAGTAGAAACGCAACTCCGCTCATCCTCGCTACAGCAGCGTCTTTTGGCTAAGCCATGGGACGGTCACCGCGGCCGTCTGGAACGTTCTCTCCATTCCGATATTAGGAAGCCACTGGAGCTTGGCACTTTTAAATCTACATCGATAAAGTCTTTGTTCAGACCTGCCATTTGTGTTCAATTGTACTTCCCCCGCACCTCCGTATAGCACGCTTGGGGGCCGTCCATAAATGACGTCACGCGATATTGGACGATTTTTGACCCCCCCCCCCTCGTCACACGGCGTCACAAAAAGTCAGACCCCCCTCGAATATGACGTCACAAAGCTCAACCATATTTCTATTTTGAAAATAAAACATGCTACAAATCGCTTTAAACTATTGTCATTGTAGTGCGTATTTAATGTGGCACTGCACTCTGTTGTAGGAGAAAACACGTATAAAAAGGAGGCGTTGGAAAACTTAAATTTGGTATAAAATTCACTTGAAAATGACCTCGAGTGAAAAACTCACTTCTCTACAACCGCTTTTTTGCGTTGAGTTGTGTCGTCCTCCTCCCCACGACCCCACCACCCCTGCCACAGCCTCCCCACGACCACAGTTGGCTACGTACGGCGCGAAAGAAGTTCGGCTCGTGGGGATCGCCCCTCGGACACGTGGCAATACCTCGCAAGCTAGAGACGGCGGGTTGCGGTGGGAGCCACCGGCATCTATCCAGCAGTGGATCGACCATGACCAGCGGTGACGGCGGTGACGAGGGCTGCACGTGTGCGCTCACCTGAGCCACGCAGGTGAAGAAGTCCACGATTGGCTCGACCACGGCCCTGAGGATGACGTTGGTGGCCCGCCTGCCGCACAGACACTCCATGCAGCCCGCCACCTTCAGCGCCGCCGAAGCCATGGCCGAGGGCTACGTGTGGCGGTGGTGGTGGTGTCGTGTGTGTTGCTGTGTGTTTGTTGTTGTGTGTGTGGCTTGCTGTGTTGCTGTGTGTGTGTTGCTGTGTGTGTGTGTAGCTGTGTGTGTGTGTAGCTGTGTGTGTTGCTGTGTGTGTGTTGCTGTGTGTGTCACCGTGTGTGTGTGTTGCTGTGTGTGTGTAGTGTTGCTGTGTGTGTGTGTTGCTGTGTGTGTGTTGCTGTGTGTGTGTAGCTGTGTGTTGCTGTGTGTGTGTAGCTGTGTGTGTTGCTGTGTGTGTGTAGCTGTGTGTGTTGCTGTGTGTATAGAGCACTGTATGTACAGTATATTGTACTGTATGTACAGTATATATTACTGTAGCTACAGTATCAAAGCGTTGTTGCGTCCTGCCGTGCGCCCAGGCGACCCCGACCCTTTAAACGGCTTCAGCGGCAGTCGGTTGACTCGGGACGCTTCGTCCGCACCGCACGTGGCCCAAACGCACGTGGCCCAACGCACGTGACCCAAACGCACGTGGCCCAACACACGTGGCCCAACCGCTTCAATCACAAACAAACACAAAACCACGACAATTCACGTTGGGGAGGGACCCAGGACGCACATTTCGTTGGACAACGACGACGACGTTCGAGACTTGTAGGGCGTCTTCGAATTTGCGGTGATCATTATCGACGCTGGTGTAGGGAGGGGTGGAGGTTATGAAGATGATGATGACCATGATGATGGTGGCAGCCAAACGTTGAACAGACGTCGCTGGGCTAACGTCGGTGTCCCAACTCGAGTGGCCGCACGGGACGAGATTCCTTCTCGGTCTGTCTCGGGAGGCCGATCGGGAGAGTGATTTGGGCGGTGTCTTGAGAGTCTTTCACTCCTTCAACCATTGCGGTGATGAGAAGCACGCGGCTCTCATCCTCGGTGTTGGTGGTGGTGGTGTTGGTGGTGTTGTTGGTGGTGGTGATGGTGTTGGTGGTGGTGTTGGTGATGGTGGTGATGGTGTTGGTGGTGGTGTTGGTGGTGATTTTGGTGGTGTTGGTGGTGGTGTTGGTGGCGGTGTTGGTGGTGTTGGTGGTGGTGGTGTTGGTGGTGGTGGTGTTTGTGGTGTTGGTGGTGTTGGTGTTGGTGGTGATGGTGTTGGTGGTGTTGTTAGTGTTGGTGGTGTGAGCAGCAGGCACATGGCTGAGCGCAAGGGGACACGCGAACCGCAGCGTGAAGATCACGAGGAGGAGGAGGGGAGGATGAAGGCGCAGGGAAGGAGGAAGGAGGAAGAGGGGCATACACAGGGGAAGGAGGAACGTTCACATAAGAAGGAAGGGCGGGAGAAGGAAGAAGACCGGCATCAACGGGAGGAGAGGAAGAATGAGGAGAGGAGGAAGGAGGGGAGAAAGGAGGAAGAGAGGAAGAAGAATGAGGGCAGGAAGGAGGAGACAAAGAAGGAGAGGAAGAAGGAGGGGAAGAAGGAGGAGAGGAAGAAGGAGGGGAGGAAGACGAATGAGGGCAGGAAGGAGGAGGAGGGGAGGAGGAAGGAGGAGGGGAGGAAGGAGGAAGGGAAGAAGGAGGAAAGGAAGGAGAGGAAGAAGGAGGGGAAGGAGAAGGGGAGGAAGGAGGGGAAGGAGGAGGGGAGGAAGGAGGAGAGGAGAAAGGAGAGGAAGGAGGAGGGGAAGAAGGAGGAGCGGAGGAAGGAGGAGGGGAGGAAGGAAAGGAAGGAGGAGGGGAGAAAGGAGGGGAGGGGGAAGGAGGAGAGGAGGAAGGAGGGGAAGGAGGAGAGGAAGAAGGAGGAGAGGAAGAAGGAGGAAAGGAAGGAGGGAAAGGAGGAGAGGAAGGAGGAGAGGAAGGAGGAGGGGAAGGAGGAGAGGAATGAGGAGAGGAATGAGGAGAGGAATGAGGAGAGGAATGAGGAGAGGAATGAGGAGAGGAAGGAGGAGAGGAGGAAGGAGAGGAAGGAGGGGAGGGGGAAGGAGGAGAGGAGGAAGGAGAGGAAGGAGGAGGGGAAGGAGGAGAGGAAGGAGGGGAGGGGGAAGGAGGAGAGGAGGAAGGAGAGGAAGGAGGAGGGGAGGAAGAAGGAGGAGGGGAGGAAGGAGGAGGAGAGAAAGGAGGGGAAGGAGGGGGAGGAGGAGAGGAGGAAGGAGGGGAAGGTGGAGGGGAAGAAGGAGGAGAGGAAGGAGGAGGGGAGGAAGACGAATGAGGGCAGGAAGGAGGAGGAGGGGAGGAGGAAGGAGGGGGGTAGAAAGGAGGGGGAGGGGAAGAAGGAGGGGAAGAAGGAGGAGAGGAAGGAGGAGAGGAAGGAGGGGAAGGAGGAGAAGGAGGGGAGGAAGCAGGGGGAACATTCACATAAGAAGGAAGCCGGGAAGAAAGAAGGCGGTTTGCACAAGAAGGAGGAGGGGAGGAGGAGTAAGAAGGTGGACGAGGGGCACAGGGGGAAGGTCCCGGCGCGTGGCGGTGCGGGCGTCAGGAGAGTCGTCTTGGGGGGGGGGCGGCAGGGCGCGCCGCCCAGCAGCAGCAGCAGGGAGAGGGCTCCTGCTGCCACGAGCACGCGGCAGGGAGACACGGGGGCGGCGGCCAAGGACAGCGGGAACACGCAGAAGGGCAAAGCTGACACGCGAGGACCTGGCCCCCCTCCTGCCCAGCATCGGGCCCCCCCTCCTGGCCCCCCTCCTGGCCCCCCTCGCCCTCACCTTCGTGCCTCCCGCGACGCGCGCAAGAAGCCACCCCGGACAGGTTTGGCTGCGGATGAGCGAGTGCGCAGTCAGTACTCTTTGGTTCTTTCGGTAAAGTGACATATAAAGAGAAAGCAATGAATTAAATACTAGCATACGACGTTTCGATTGCAACACAAGCAATCATCATCAGGTATAAATGAAATAGAAACACAAATCTAGCATACTTAGAAATTTAATGTAATACAACAGAGAGTCGGATAACATAACAGTCAACACCCTACCTGGTTGATTACGTTCTTCCTGAGAATGCTAAATTTGAGAGAGAGAGATAAAACACAGAACCAGAGACATATATGCGCAGTCAGTCTCGTTACTTGCGATCTCCACGGTGGCGAGATGTTATTTACCTCGCCTGGTGTACAGGAAGTTGTGGGTTCGATCCTGACCCCCACCCTGATGCCTCTATATTTGGAGTTTGCGTGTCTCTCTCCCATGGCCGTGTGGATTTTTTTTCTCCGGGTCCTCTGGGTTTTCCCCGCCACATTTAGAAAAATGCGTTTGGAGTATTTGGCTCCTAGAAATGTCAATGTGTTAAGGGGCCGTCCATAAATGACGTCACGCACCTAGGGGGGGGGGGGGTCAGACATTTGTGAAGATGTGTGGTGCATTGTATTTGAGTTGTGCGCCTTTTTGCGTCATCTGGTCCAACACCATGTGAGACTAGGCTCTAAGGAAAGCTGTCTCGGGTGTGGACCAATCAACTTCAAGGACAGTGCATACATTATCAGTTATGTTTTTTTTTGCATCACGACTGCAGGTATTGTGGTCTATGCAAACATGACTCCTTGTATAAAAGGTGTCAGTTTTGTTGCCAGAGAAACGGGTAAAAAAAACAATTATCATATTTTTTCTTCTGGCAAATGAGGTTCCAATGGTGTAAATGCTTTACCCCGAGCTCTCATACTCTGATGGTGCATTGTCTTTGAGTTGTGCGCCTTTTGGCGTCATCTGGTCCAACACCATGTGAGACTAGGCTCTAAGGAAAGCTGTCTCGGGTGTGGACCAATCAACTTCAAGGACAGTGCATACATTATCAGAGTTATGTTTTTTGTTTGCATTATGACTGCAGGTATTGTGGTCAATGCAAACATGACTCCTCGCAAAAAAAGGTGTCAGTTTTGTTGCCAGATAAAAGGGTAAAAAAACAATTCTCAAAACTGAAACCTTTTTACAAAGATTCATGTCTGCATTAACCACAATACTTGCAGTCAAAATACAAACAAAAACATGCTATGATAATATATGCATTGTCCTTGAAACTGATTGGTCCACACCAAGGGGAAAAAACTCTATTATTATATTTTGGTACTGGCAAAGGAGGGCTAATGATGTAAATACAACATAGTTTATAGCTTAGTCTTGTGCGTGTGCTACTGTGACATGTGTTCGTCATGTGTAGCTCCGTGAGTCACGCATGTGTGTTGTGCTCATGTGTGCAACCTGTGCATGTCAGATGCGTGATGGGTACACGTAGCATGTGCTCGTCATGTGTGTGACAAGTGCTAGTCCCTGTGACATGCGTGCCACGTGTGTGTGACATGTGCTTGTCATGTGTGTGACGATGTGGCTGTGATAAACATCGGTGACACGTGTGTGCCACAAGCGTGACGAGTACATGTGCCCATGGGCTTGTGCGTAACTTGTATGAGTGGCACGTGCGTAGTCCTGATCCTCCCCCAGGTCGACTCAGCCTCAAATGAGTACCTGGCGCGGTGTGTAAACATCGCCCCACTGGGGAGACAAAGGTGGTCGGGCGCGGTGCTGGCCAACCCACCCCCTCGTGTGCCGTGCCGGCCTTAATCGGTTTGCTACTCGCTGACGGCACTTGCCCCAACAGTCTGTGAAAGCTACCCGAGGGGTCTTTGTCTTTGTTTGTGTCACAAGGACTGCGGCTGCTGATGGAGTCTGCACTGCCAGGGTTCGTCTCGCGCTACCTGCTGGGCCCTCCGTGGCAGCACCGCATGCTCAAGATCCTCATCAATGGGATCTTGGGGATTCTCATCGGACAGGGTAAGGGGCCGTCCAGAGATGACGTCACGCACCTAGAGGGGAGGGGGGGGGTCAGACTTTTGTGACGATGTGTGACGAGGGGGAGGGGTGGTTGAGAAATGTGATGTCGCATCAAAATGCGCAACTTTAAATGAATATAGACAACACGTTCTACTTGATTAAATAGACTTTTTAATAAATGTTTTCTGCTACAACATCAGACTGCAGCGCCACATTAAATACGTACTCCAATGACAATAGTTTAAAGCGATTTGAAGCATGTTTTTATTTTCTAAATGGAAATATGCTTTGGGGGGGGAGGGGCAGAGCTTTGTGACGTCATATTTTAGGGGGGGTCTGCCTTTTTGTGACGCCGTGTGACGAAGGGGTGGGGTGAGGGGTCAAAAATCGTCCAAAATCGCGTGACGTCATTTATGGACGGCCCCTAATGCAGTAGTACTATTAATGTTCAATTCGTAATGTTTACATTTTATATCGCGGCGTTGTCGTTGGCGCAAAAATTTAATCTCGAGAAGCTGTAGGATTTGAATTTGAGGCGCGGGAAATCGCGGACCAAGCGGGGAAACAATTGCCTGAGCTCTGTGGTCCTATATGAGGATGTTTGGCCTGCTCCATTAATGAGTGTTTATAGGGAGAAGCTCCACGCTTGTAATGGGGGGGCGGGGTGACACGTTTTGGTTTCGATGTAGCCCAGGTCGCCCTTTAAAAAAAAAAAACAGCCACGCTGTTTTACGCCTCTCGATGGCGGGGGCGGGGGGGGTGTCCCCCATCTCCTGGTTAAATATGAAACAACAACCAACCAATCGCCGTACAGGTGGAATACAGATGGCGGCGAGCGAGTTTATCCGTAGGACAGCCGCTCTTCCTTCTGTACTGCTGCCCTGACGCCGTGTGGTGACGTCGCCGACACTTCGTGACGAAGTGACGGCTCTTGGTATATTGTCTGGCGATGTCACGTGCGCCCATACTCGATACAGTGAGAGAAAAAAAGTATTTGATCCCCTGCTGATTTTGTACGTTTGCCCCCTCTACAAGCTGAGATTTGGAGCACTCCCTTTAAGAGTGTGCTCCGAAGCTCAGCTCGTTACCTGTATAAAAGACACCTGGGAGCCAGAAATCTTTCTGATTGAGAGGGGGTCAAATACTTATTTCTCTCATTAAAATGCAATTCAATTTATAACATTTTTGACATGCGTTTTTCTGGATTTTTTGTTGTTGTTATTCTGTCTCTCACTGTTCAGATAAACCTACCATTCAAATTATAGACTGATCATTTCTTTGTCAGTGGGCAAACGTACAAAATCAGCAGGGGATCAAATACTTTTTTCCCTCACTGTATGTGCGTGCCTGCCCGCGCCGTTCCCGTCCCGTTCAGCTTGCTACTACGTCACTCTGGACTGGACCGAGATGCAAGCCACCTACAAGTTGCTGGTGCTCACGTTTCTTACCGGTGCGTTACCTCGTCGGCTACGTTGTTGCTGCTGCTGCTGTTGTTGATGATGACGATATATATGAAATTATGATTTAAAACGACGATGGCGATGTAGATAAATATGATATGAGAGTGAGTGCTGATTTAGTGCTGTTGTTTTAGCACGGTTGGCTATGTACGGTGCGAAAGAAGTTCAACATACAAACATCCAAGAGCAATGACAGCTGTATTAATGATAATCCCATTGCTGTCAACAATTGTGACGGCACTGCCGATGATGATGATGACCAAAACGATTTAGAAGATTTTTCTGACGATAATGATTATGCAGATGATAATAATTCTAATAACCGCGATGCAGATGATGAAGATTTATTTAAGGAAGTGACGACGACGATTCCATTTCATGCCAACGATTGTGACGACACTGATAACGGCAACATATGACAATCATTCCGACTACGATGACGACGACGATGACGATAACGATGATGATGACGATGATGATAATGATGATGATGACGATGATGACGTTGACGACGATGATGATGACGACGATGATGACGCTGACGACGATGATGATGATGATGATGACGACGATTATGACGATGACGACAACGATGATGATGATGACAACGATGACGACGATGATTTCGACGACAATGACGACGGCGATGATGACGATGATGATGACGATCTAACAGCGGGCAACCCACCGCCCCGCTGCTCTCCCCCCCAGTTTTCTTCGGCTTTGGCTGGGCCTTCTCGCGGCACGTGCGCTGCAGCACGGTGCTCATGGCGCCCTGCATCTGCAGTAACGTGGGCTGCGCCGTCATCATGGCCATTGCCGCTAGCCTGCTCTTCACCGGTGTGTGTGTGGTGTGCGCGCGTATGTGTGCGCGCGTATGTGTGCGCGCGTGTGTGTGTGAGCGTGTGTGCCTATGTGTGTGTGTGTGCGTGTGTGTGCGTGCGTGTGTGTGTGAGCGTGCGTGTGTGTGTACGTGTGTGCGCGCGTGTGTGTGTGCGTGTGTTGCGCGTGCGTGCGTGTGTGTGTGTAAGCGTGTGTGTGTGTGGGCGAACCCACGGGGGTCCACCTGCTAACGATGGGGGGCTTTGCCAGTGTGCCTCTCGGGCTCTGTCGGAACGCTTTGACTTTGCAAATTAGACAGTCGGAGTCGCGTGAAATACATTTAAGTCTGACTTGGAAACTCACCTCTGTAAATTGGCCTTTACCTTCCCCCCCCCGCACCCCCCTTTGGGTGTACCGCGTTGTATTGTGTCCTGTCGTACTCAGGGCCCATGACGAACATGATGATGAACGCCAAGGAGAGCGGACAGTCACTCGCCTGTCTAGGCCAGCAGCAGATCGAGCACGCCAAGGTCATCGTCATGATCGCGGCGGCGCCCGTCCGGACCCTCTTCGAAAAACTCATCGTGGGTGAACGCCTCGCTGTGCTATCTGTGCGTGGCCACGTACGACGCGAAAGAAGTTCTGCGCACATAATGCGCATTTCGGGTGAATCTGTTAAAGGCGATGCGTGTGTTATATACAATAACAAGGTTGTCAAAGACCAAATGCGTCTCAAGATTAGGCATGTATGTAGTATGTAGAAGTTCTTTCGCACCGTACGTGACCAACCGTGGTAATCTGAGCTGGTAAGGCCCATTCGGCTAAAGGAATCGCCCAGAGTGACCCGGAATTTAATCCGAAAGAGCCCGGCTGTTCCAGGAATGATGTTGGCACGCCGCATTCATCTCGCCTTATTTTGTCGTGACACCGCTGTGGGACGTGGGGTGGCTTGCTTCTGGTTGACGTGCACACGTTGATAGGGCCATACGAATATAGGGTACAACAATACCAGCAGCTAAATTTCGATTTAAAGCTTTCGCGACTGCAGGGATTCATCTTCTTGGTTCTTTCGGTAAAGTCACATAGAAGGGAAATAATAAAATAATAAAAAATAAAAATAATAAAATATTTTATTAATAAAATAATAAATAATAAAACATAATAAAATACTTTATTATTATGTTTTTTTGTATTACTTTATTATTTCCCTTCTACGTGACTTTACCGACAGAACCAAGGAGAATGCCAGCAGCTGGTTACGGATTGGGTGTAGCTTGTGCTCTCTAGCGGCAGTGCCCTATTCCGGTAATCCCTACCCCGAGCCAGCCTTTGCGAAGCCGTGTAAAATAGCAGTGGAATAATAGCGAGCGAGAGACGGTGAGCCTCGCTCGGGCAGGCGTTGCTTGTGTGCCTCCACGCACCCCTCCACCCCCCCTCCCCCTCCGCTACGCAGGGCGCCTCCAAGGACCTCGAGAAGAGCAGCGACGAGGCCAAGGATCTCTTCCAGCTCATCAAGCAGGAGGTGCTCGGCGGCAAGAGCTCGGACGGTGGAAGCAAATCGAGGAGAGACGCCGCCCAGCAAGAGCTGCAGGAGGACGGCCAAAAGCCGCAAGAAATTGAGGCGAAATACATCAACAGGGTTCGCTTTCGGTGCTGGGGTGCGTAACGCGCGCGAACCGCTGGTGGCATTCAGTTGGGTTGGGGGGGGGGGTCGCAAATGGGTTTTGATTCCTTACCCGTACCCGGCCGCACCAGGGTCGCAAATGGGTACCCGTTCCCTACCCGTACTCTACCCGAAATGAGTAACAAACGGTGACTCACCAGTGACTTACGGCCTACCCGTACCCGGCCGCACCAGGGTCGCAAACGGCTACCCGTACCCGGACGGGTACGGGTAGCCGGGTATCGGGTAGGGTATGGGTATCGGGTACCCGGTTGCGACCTCTGGGGTCGCTCACTCTCTCCTGCTGTGTGTGCGTATGTTGAACTTCTTTCACGCTGTACGTAGCCAGCGGTGCTAATGGAAGGTGCGGGAGGAGGACAACAAACTGCCTAACCCCCCCCCCCCTCCTCTCCCCGGATTCTGGGGGGGAGTTGGGAAGAGGCAGGTGGGGAGACGATCATCAACAACGACGCAACGGACTCATTGCAATGAGCGCCCGTGATGTAACAGACGCCGTGGATGGCACGAGCTGGTGTGCTGTGGTTCTGCGTGAGGGACGAGATCGTTGAGCCCAGTATATGGCTGCAGGCACGACGGCCTCCTACCACCTTTGCTCTGCTCGTGGCAACCTTGTGCTCTCTCTCTCAATGTTTTGGACGTACAATTTTTTTTTTTACTTAATTCTGAATTATGTTTTATATTTCAGCCCATCAAAAATGTATTTAAGCTACTCCTAAAGAATATTTATCCCACCACTTATGGCAAATAGCATTGTCAATGGTAGACATTCAGATATCGTGACTTCAAATACACATGCAGCATGCTCGCACTTATCAATTACTTTGAGAAGCAGCATTCCTGTATCGCCGAATAAACGCATCGACAGATTAACACGAGGAGAACATGTATTGATATTGAGATTAATTCTGTGATATCTGCTTCCGTGGGCCATTCTTCGTGCAGACGTGTTTGAGAAGGGCGTGGAAAAATGCAGGGAGATGTTTGCGCAGAAGTGGGAAGAGTGCTTGAGCACGATCGTGGTCCCCCTCATCAACCACATCCTGTGTCTCCCGCTCAAGTTTGACTTCCTGTGCCCCATCATACACAGTGAGTGGCTCTCTCTCACCGCACTTCCCAACACGCACTCATCACCACTCGCCACTAACCTGACACTCATCACTCACCCCTCGCCAAAATACTCACACGCGTCACTCGCCACGCACCAAACTCGCCTCCTCCAAAACCCTGACCCTCACCATCGTGAAAATGTACATCGTAATCGCACCTTGAAAGATGATCTCGCGGCAAAACCAGGAGTTTCACCGCGAGTGGCATTGCCACTTTACCGTAATCATCATCACGCTCATAATGATTGTCGCGATCATAGTCATCAGCTGGAACGTAATCATCGTCACGGTTTGCTGCTCTTGTGTTCGCCAGTTTTCGATTCGTGGTGCGAGGCAAACATCCCCATGTTGAAAGATTTCGGTGACGTCTACGACAGGATTCAGCGATCCATTGCGCAGCTGAAGGAGCAGTTCATGATGAATCCGCAAGTCGAGGTGAGACGGGAGTGCATCCGACACCGCTCACGTGGACTCGCGATCGCGAGATAACGGCGTCATTCACATCGGCGTGAATCGCGACAGCGCAGCGGACGAGACCAGAGCTTCTCAAACAAGGGAAAATCATTTTGACTTAAAACTTTCGTGACTGCAGGAATTCATAGTCTTGGTTCTTTCGGTAAAGTCACGTAGATAGAAAATAAAAATAAAATGTATAATAAAATTAATAAAAGAAAAAAACCAATGACGTTTCGATCGCCTGATGAAGGCCGCTTGTGTAGCGATCTAAACATCGTCAGTTTTTATGCTTTTAATATATTTTTTCTTCTATCTACGTGACTTTACCGAAAGAGCCAAGAATAAGGAAAAATAAAATTAATAACAAACGAACAAACTCTCCTCTTCACGTGCGCTCCTCCCCCCCTCCACCACCTCGCCACCTCCTCCCTTTGCCCTCCGCCTCTCTTCCTCGTCCCACCAGTACACGCAGCAGTCGACGTCGATGGACGAGGACGCGGTGAAGGGCATGATGACCAACATCCGCAGCAGCATCAACAGCCAGGTGTCCAAGGTCATGGCCTTCGTCAAGGTCTTGCAGATGCTCCTGGGGCTCGTCGGCGTCGTCCTCTACAGCGCGTGCGTTCCCGTCGTGGCACCGAGCCACGCTTATTCGTGTCACTCATTTATTTCCCAAAAGCAGGATTTGTTCACAAAATCCAGACGCCCCATGGCACCACGCCTCTCACGGTTTGTCCATCGTTTCTCCGATAAAATCTAGACCTGGCAGCAGTATTCGTCAGCTGAAATTACGATTATCATCGCATTGCAATTTCAGTTTTAATCAGGAAAAGGGCACGATCATAAATGCGGCACGCGGCTGATGATCGGCTGGGAATCGAATTCAGGTCGCGGTTTTCAGGCGCAGTGTAAGCCCATTGCCGTTTGTGCAACTTGCGCTATACAATCGTCGATTAATGAATATGTAAAAACAATGTGAATATATCTCTCAAGGTTAGCAGTGGCACAACGTGAAATGACGTCACTGGATGTACAGGATGAGATGAATGGGCGGAAACTTCACCTCGACACCAACGCGCCGTGTCGCCGCGCGTAAACGTGCCTCCGTTTTTTCACCTCGTAGACGCCCGTGTGCTCGCTGTTACCCTGCAGGTGTTCGGGCTACGTGGCCAAATACAACGGGGACGTTGTCCACGACAATATGTACCTGACGCGCTACTTCAGAATCATCGACGCCAGGAGACGCGCCAAGGTTGGAGAGCCTTCCCAGTTCGCATTTTGTTTTCTTTCATTCCCCGGCTATCTCACGGTCGTCCCCGTCCACCCAGGGGCAAAGGGGCTTCGTCGGCAACCTGCGGCTCCGGAGCCGCGTGCGATTCTTTACAGACTGCCTCGTCATGTATTGCACGTGCATGTATTCACGCGCAATGCAGCCCTTGAAATATTGTGCTTTGTCCAGAATTCCCCCTCCCCCCCACACCAAAATGGTGCTTACTCTTTGGTTCTTTCGGTAAAGTCACGTATAAAGATAAAATAATAACCTTCTTGGTTTTTTTCGGTAAAGACAGATATTACAGAGATACATAGAGAGAGAACAAACATAGTGATATCTGTCTGCTTATATGTCTGTCTATATGTTTCTGGTTCTGTGCTTTATCTCTCTCTCAAATTTAGCATTCTCAGGAAGAACGTAATCAACCAGGTAGGGTGTTGACTGTTATGTTATCAGACTCTCTGTTGTATTACATTCCATTTCTGAGTATACTAGATTTGTGTTTCTATTTCATTTATACCTGATGATGATTGCTTTTGTTGCAATCGAAACGTCGTATGCTAGTATTTAATTTATTATTTTATCTTTATACGTGACTTTACCGAAAGAACCAAAGAGTAATTCCTGCAGTCACGAAAGCTCCAAATTAAGATTAAAATGGTGCTTCTTATCTATTTGGTTGTCGACCCCTGACCTAGGGCAATGGCACGCATCTCCACGCGGCTCTTTCACACTCGCGCTTGTTACGGCTCCCCCGATGGGATCTTCTCCTTGTTACCACCTGTTGGTGTTCGGCATGATGCCTCCCCACGTTTCCTACAGCAGTAACTCTTCGCACGTGAAGCGGAACGTCGGATTAACGACCCAAAGCCAGCGCTCGCTGTCGCTGGCCGGTGTCACGTAACGCTGCGTAACACCACGTCTCCCCTGTACGTGTCGCTCGCAGAAACAGCAGACGCTTCTCCCTCCCAAGCGGGCCGAGGTGGTCAAGTATGTCAACCCGTGCAGCCTGAGGATGAGCGAGGATGAGCAGAAGTCGTTTGTGAGTGCCCTTAATGAGCGAACCGCCCTGTATGCGGCCTACCTGAGGCGTGGTTTAGGCGAGACGCTGCTGGTTTTCACCCCCCTCGTATGCGTGCTGGGGATCCTTTAAGTCCTCTAGCTTTATCCCCGCGAGAAGCCAAACTCATGATTATTTACGCAATAATACGTATTAGTATTCAGTTTTATATGGGGGCATTTATGCAACTGCATCGCGCAACGCCGTGCCATCCGCAGACACGGAGGTGTGCGTATATTCAAATGCTTTCAGCCAATTTCCAATGAGTCTTTGTGCATGTGGGAGGAAACTGGAACAGTCGGAGAACACCCACGCGTGCAAGGGGCAACACTCTATCCCATACAGATGAGTCAGATTGACATCTCCTGGTGAGCCAGGACATGGCACCTCGATGACGACACACAGGACGGGAGTTTCACCAACCCTCGCCTCCACAGTGCTGGCAGGGTGGTGACAAGCCTAGCCGTTGTGCGTTGGCCACTTGTTTCAGAGGTTCGCAGTTCGAATCGAGTGGCCGCCCTAATTTTTACCGCTGGTGTTATGACCAAAATAATATACGCGCTGGCTGCTTCACGGTGGACGTTCAAGATCCACAAATGGGAGCGAAAGCTCCCAAATGTACCCGCAAATGACTGAATTGTGACGATATACAGCAAGCATCACACCCTACCGGTGGAGTAATGCCCCAGGAACGCTCTTGCAAATGACACTCTATCTGGTCTCTTGAGTTATCGCCTGGTTAAACAAAATAAACCCGAACTTGTACTACACCTGCGCGTGCGTACAGGTGCTCACGTGTGTCCACGCGTTTGTTAATTTGTTCTCCCCTCCTCCCCTCTATCCCTCCTCTCCTCCATCCTGAGCCACCTCCAGTATTTCATGGCCGTGATCCTGGGCGCCCAGATTTTGATGATGGTCTTCCTCCTGATCGTCGACTGGTGCATCGTGGTGTTCATCAACATCTTCGCCAAACACAGCAAAGTCGAGTACAACATCAAAGGCAAGGCCACGCTCCCCCCCCCCCACCACCAGTATACGCGGAACGTCAGGCCAACGTTGGTGCAACGGTTCTAACCACGTGTCAAACGTTGTGTGTTTACTGGGTACCCACCGTCCACCTCAGGCTGAGCAGAAAAGACCACCACCCCGCCCCTACCACCCACTGTTTGCCCCACCTGCATAGCCAATGCAGTCCAGTATTCACTCGTTATCCACGAACTTGCTGTCCGCGATTTTGGCTATCCGCGAATCACATCTGGAACTCTGCACGACTGCATCGAGCGAAAGAGAGAAAGTGATGAGATAAAGTGATGACTTCAAGTGATGGAATAAAGTGATGATAGAGAAAGTGATGAGATAAAGACACGAGAGAGAGAGAGAGAGATAGATAACTTATCGAGGCTTTAGAAGCATCTGCAGACATTGAAACGTACGATATTCGTAGGCCAATATAATTTCTCCACAAAATGTTCCCTTCACAAGCATCTCGGAAATGCATCCCTCGCGAATAACAAAGGAATGCTGTATCACAAAACAAATAATTTAATCTGAGCAGACCCCGAAATGAACGCATCCCTCGCGAATAACGAGGGAATGCTGTATCACAAAACAGATACAGTAAAACCTTGGATTGCGAGCATAATTCGTTCCGGAAACGTGTTTGTAATCCAAAGCACTCGTAGATCAAAGCACTCGTATATCAGTTGTGATCACGTGACGCTCGGCAGACAAAGCGTATACACGTACTACTGGTATTGCAAGACCTCGCTCGTTTATCAAATTAATATTTATTTTAAAAATTTGCTCGTCTTGCAAAACACTCGCAGACCAAGTTACTCGCGATCCAAGGTTTTACTGTCAATGAATCTGAACAGACCACCGTACGGTGCTCAGCGAGAGAGTGCCGGCACGCGCAGCTTTGACGTGTGAGAGAAACGTACTACTGCTGTGTACGTATGTACCGTATGCCGAACTTCTTTGGCACCGTACGTAGCCAAGCTTGTTAATCGGAGGTGCGGTGGCGGCGCGCGTCTCTCTCGCGCGTGCGATCCCAGGCGTCCACGAGCTGAGGGTCGACGTCAACGGCAAATCGGTGTTGGCCAACGTGCTGAGGATACTGATGCGGGCGCTCGAATCGAACCACACAGTCAACGTGGTCTCCGATAACTACGGTGAGGAGCCGGGACCCTGGAGAGGAAACGGGGTTGGGGGGTGGTGAAGGGGGGTGGGAAGCGGGGGTTGGAGGGGGGGTGGAGGAGGTGGTGGGTGAGGGCCAGGGAGGGTGAGCAGGTGGAGTGGGATGAGTCGCACCCTTTTCGTTTTAAATGGCGCTACGAGCACCCACAATGTTTGCAGCTCAGAAGATAAGCTGGGTTTCGATTTAAAGCTTTCGTGACTGCAGGGATTCATATTCTTGGTTCTTTCGGTGAAGTCACGTAGAATGGAAATAATAAAATAATCAAATAAAACATCATAAAATCATTCTCACGATGTTTCGGCCACAACGCAAGCAGCTTGCGTTGTGGCCGAAACGTCGTGAGAATTATTTTTATTATTTTATTATTTCCATTCTACGTGACTTTACCGAAAGAACCAAGAAGACTAAGCTGGGTTGTGGCTGGCGAGTGCTTAGATGAGTGACTGGTTGAACGAACCCCGGGACTTGCCAGGTGTTGACGGCACGGGTCTGCGAGGTGCGGCCAAGGAGGCCGAAGCGTTGAGGGTTCTCCGGTTTTGTCACAGAATGCCTCCCGCAGTCCAAGGCCATGAGCTGGAAGATGTACGGCCTCATCATCGGCATCTACAGTGCGCTCGTGTTCGTCATGGTCAGCCAGGGCTACGTGCTGCGGCTCAGGAGGGTTATCTGTGCCTTCTTCTACCCAAAGGTGCGACGATGCCACTCGCTTTGCCCTGCGTCGCTATGCGCCCGTGTCCTACACCGGCGGTTCCTACACCCACCCACCCGATGCGTCAGTAACGATGCGTCAGTTCGTTGGAGAGAATTCCTTTCTCGTCGTCGCGATACGCACCTAGGAAGCGTGCGCGTGAGAGTCGCAATGTTCTCGTTGAATCGTGCAGAGAGAGAAGACGCGAGTCGTTCACCTCTACAACGACTACTTGCGCCGACGGAAGGGCTTCTTGAAATTCACCAAGAAGATGATCGCCGCGAAGGCAAAGCAGCGTATTAGGGTAAGTGCAGCCCCTGCCGTACGTTCCTTTGTGCCTGTGCATGGTCGAAACTTAAATCTCGCGCTGGGCTGGGTCACTGTAATTTCTACTTAAAACTCATTGTATGCATGCATGTTGAACTTCTTTCGCACTCTACGTAGCCAACCGTGCTAATTGGAGGCGCAGGGGTAGGACAACAAACTTAACGCAAAAGGCAGTTAAAAAGAAATGAGTTTTCAATCTTCATTTAAAAGTGCATCGCTCCAGCGACTTGCCAATTATTAGTAGCCATTAGTATTTATTAGTACTCATTAGTACTCAGTCGTACCATTAGCATGTTGCAGCCAGGTGGTCAGCTGGCATGGGCTCTCCGAAACGTGGTGGCTGTGTTAATGACAGCATTTTTTAAAATTGATAATTATCGATATTGTTTGCTTCAGCAGATTACTCCGGATGTAATTGTAATGAAAGAAACACAACATCACACTTTAACGAGAGGTGAACGCACGTTCACTGGTGATGTCAGAATGTCTACCGTCAACTTGGTTATTGGAAAACTATTAAGCTGGGAGTGATGGTGTTTATGTTGATGGTCAGTGATGACGATTAGATGATTGTGAGAGTAGTGGTGTCATTTACAGTGATGATGATGATGTCGGTGGTAGTGGTGGTGTTTTTTCTACCTACGTGACTTACCAAAAGAACCAGAGATTATGGATTCCTGCAGTTATGAAAGCTTCAAATCAAGCGTGGTGGTATCGTTAGGCGGCACCAGTATTCATGATAAAGAGAGTTAGATGATTGTGGTTAGTAAAGGTGGCAGTGTCCGTGCCAATGATGATGACCATTTGGTGGTGGTGTGGCAACTGTGGCAGTATTGACTACGACGACGATGATGAGGATAGCGATTGTGGTGGTAATGATGACGACGATGGTGGTGTTGGCGACGATATTGCTGACATTGACTACGACGACGACGATGATGATGTGCGCTTGCCATGCGTGCAGCCAGCGTTCTCCATCGTGAAGACGCTGACGAGGAAGTGGCCCAAGTTCTTCGGCTGGCTGTCATACTTCGTGTCGCGCGCCTGCGTCGTGTGCGGCCAAACGAACCCCGATGAGCCCTTCTCCTGCCCCAACACAAAGTGCCGCTCGCTCTACTGCCGGCCGTGCTGGCGCGACGTGGGAAAGGTCTGCTACTCCTGCTCCACCAAGCGCGACTCGGACGGCTCGGGCTCAGACCTGGCAAACTTCATGGTCCGCGGTGGGGACTCCACGGTGTGAGACCTCTTGGCGCGGGAGGTCGACCGACACACTCTGGGCGACCGGGGCGGGTTGCTCGGCTTCTTGGTGTGTCAGACGGCAAGCCCACGTGGACCACGGCAGGGGATTGGACCGCGAGGGTGTGGGGGTAAGAAGGGGACCTCCCTGGGTGGGACAGGCTGTAGAAAGTTGCCAAATCGCTTTTTTTCCGAAGGACTCGGGTTTTGCTGGACGAGAATATTTAGTTTTGCACGCTCGAATTTCATTTTATAGTACCGAAATCACAAAAAAAAAGTTTTCGGAAATGTTGTAACAGTGCTTCTGGTACACTATACGACTTCCACACAAACTTCTCTGCATCCCCTCTTGTTTGACGTATAAATTCTCCTTTCCCAAGGTCTTTGAGGACGTGATTGTGTTGTACGCTTTCCACGTAGTCTTCTTGTTACGTCCAGTACCGTACATCATTCATTGTCCAGCCGGGTAATGATAGCGCTGGCACCTAGTGTGTACCACGTATATGGTAAAAGAAAATGTAAGTAGTGTTTGACTTTAAATTATAAAATTGCAAGACTAAAACTGGAGTTGTATCTTCCTTGGGTAAGCGTTAAAGAAATCACGCCTTCATTTTAAATAATTATCAACATCTTTGAAAGTGCCCACTGGTTCTGAATTTTCTACCCATCTTCACCCTCCGAGAGAGAGAGGCCGCATTAACCGGTAAGATTTTCATAAGGAGCTTCACATCTAACGATCACCACGCTATCACCGCACTTGTTTATATTGCAGAGTGATTAGTTGAATCGTCGCGCAAAGTCCTTGTTGTGACGCTCAATTTCGGCGGTGACATGGGGCCTCGTGGTAACACATTCGCCGAATGTTGGAGACGTTCGCGGTTCAGTGCCAATGACAGCTTTCGTTAATCCAGCGGGATGTATATCCCGTACAAGTAAACCCGTAAAAACAAAGTTTTTCCCTATAAATCCTTTATATGCGTGGCGGCTAGAGTCCTCTCGTCCTCTGGCTTGAGATTGCTGCCACCTATGGGTCAGATGATTGTCTGCCACCATTAAGCAATTGGTAATTAAATATTTAATTTGTTTTCCCTAAACAGTGTAACATTTTGGGAATTTTTTTTTCACGAACATTAATTGTCTGGCACAACGAGTCTGTGTGGAAAATGTCAGCTCGATTGGATCACGGGAAGTGGGTTAAAAAACGACCGAAAGATTTGCACGGTCATAAGCAAGCAAGCAAGCACGCAAGCAAGCAAGCAAGCGAACTTAATATAAAGGATTAAAAAAAAACAAATATACATGCCATCTGCTTCACAGTGGACGTGAACGATCTCGTGACGTAGTTCACAAGAGTGGGTCCACTGTGTGCCGGCTTTATGGCCCACATTTGGACAATTACACGCAATTGTACACAGTGCTTCTGGTACACTATACGCATAGACCTAGCAGTCATTGGCCACTCCTGCGAAAGCTTGGCAAGACCCTCCTGATAAAGAGACTCAGTGATGCTTTGCTGGGTAAACAAGCGTAAGAATAATATGCTATAAGAAAGTGTTATTGCGCGCATGCACGGTTAAAAACACGTCAGCTTGTTGTGTCCGCTAGAGGGCGCAAAGTGTTGTGTGAAACGAAACTGAACTATTCTATCCACTTCTTATTGATTTTCGAACAGCATGGTAGGTTTTACCAGATCTCCATTTCGCTCAAAGTTTGTTTATGAAATCTTCGTGCATTTCCAGGAATGCAGCGATATTAGCTCTTGGGTAAACGTTCATTAACCTGTGACATTTTCACAAGGATAGGCAATCATGTTCCAGGAGCAGAGCCAACAATCCACATTTGAATATTGTCCACGATTATCAGTGTGACAATAATACTGTTATAAGACTTCCTACATGTAAAATATGTATACGTTACCAAAAGCATATATGTTTTTAATGGGAGAGCTACATTGAGACACCATTTAGAGTTAGGTAAGGAGATTGCTTTCATCAAGGCTATTGAAAGCTACGTTAGAAGATAATTTACAACAAAAAATGATTGGAGTCCTCATGGAAAATTTAATTTTATAATGAAAAGAAAATACCAAACTGTTTTTATTTGACTACATAAAGCTCACTGAGCTATATAGTTATTTTTCATAAGCGACTTGGCCACAAATGATAGCTCAACGAAGTGACTTATCGCGTGGAAATGTATAGCAGCCAAATACTTGATACGCGTGTTACTAAATGTGGAGGGACCACAGGGAGAACATGCAAACTCCAAATATACAACAGGCGTCAGGGTCGGGATGGAACCCATGACCCATTGGTCGTTAACATCTCGCCACCGTGGTGCCCGATGCACCTAAAGAACAACGTTTTAAACCATTGCATTTACCCGCTATGTATGAAACGTGGGCAATTATAACTTACTGGATTACAGAACATATGGATTTGAGAATGGAAATTAGAGACATTGATGGCTAGCTGAAGTAATGGAACTTGGGCAGGAGACATTGCTATAATGGCCAATGCACGAGATTCGTGATGGAATGGCATCGGAACGAGGTAGCCCGCCTAAGAGGATGACCACCACACAGCAATGGAGAGATAAGATTTAGCTGATGTGGGCGAGTGAGACACATCATGGCATCGCGAGACTGTGAGGGATGGTGACAACATGGAGAGGCATTCGTGTAGCAGTGGATAGGTCATGGCTCTATAATTTGCATCACAGGTAAAAGATGTAGCTTGCAAGTAAAACAGCAAAATTACATTGTGATACACTCAAATATAATTTATTGTGTAAAAATAGCTCACGCTTCAACAATCTACAAACTCTTCATCGTCTGGGATGTGACTTCACTCGAACGAGTGGCTTGTCGTGCCAAGCAAACATTCACGCCCGTCGTGGAGCGGTGCAAAGTCTGGATTATTGCATCACAGTTGAGCTTGTGCTTTGGGCATCCACCACATATAACTTCCTACTTTATCTACCGGTCTGTGCTTTAGAATTTGCTAACTTCCTTATGAACCTAGGGATGCCAGTACTGGATTGTACGAGGTACTGAGATAGTTTTGCCTTTGGATTTATTTTTTGTAGCGCTGTAATTCCGGGAAGAGAGACAGAGAGAGAGAGATTGTGAGCGTCGCTATCGTGTGTGTGTGGGCGGTGCCAGCGCACAGGGGCCAATGGACCAGAGAGGCCCAGGGACCGGACTAAAACGAGGAGGGAAATTAGAAAGGGGGGAGGGGAGGGGGCATTTAATTCCTTGCACCAGGACCCATGCCAATGGCGCTAGGCCACTGAGTGTAATGTCTGCAATGCACCACGTACAGCTTAATTAGGGGTTCACCCCTGAAGGGAAGGCAATGAACATGAATTGGAAAAAAGTGCAGCAACACGCAGGTAGTAAGAAGAGCTCGCTTGTGCATCATCGCTTACTAATACCAGTCATTCGCCTTACCGCTAGATAAAGCATATTGACCCTTCTGCCACGGCAAAGGTGCACTGACGCCGAACTGTGCTTGTTATTCTGCGTCGCCTCGACGTCTTTAATTATTATTTTCAAACAAAACCTAGGCAGTGAGTCTCGCACAGCATAGCAACACGGCAAATTTCACACGTCGGTGAGCGTCGGTGGCGGCCTCGCACCCACACGCATCGCACGCACACGCGAGTTAAAGCTACCACATTTCTGGGAAGCTCATCCAGGACACGTGGTAAGCTCCCAGCTCCTACCGCTGTCAGCCCTGGCCACTCTTAACATTACCACGCTCACTCAGTTACTATCCCTGCTCTCACATGGTGAGTGGCTTGCTTCTTTCTGACGTTGGCCCTGCCGACTGTTCATACCTACTCCTCTGCCAATGCCCGTCAACTACTCGGGTAGCCCCACCCTTTGACCACAACTCGAGTGGAGCACGCGGCCAGAAAATGTTAAACTGGAATGAAATCCTGATTTTTGACCAATGCTTCGGGACACCGGTACAGCTTACTAAAAACCTGGACTAACAGCCAAAGCAGGTTGTTTGGTAGCTTTACGCGTGAAAAGCCATCACTGGTCACAGAGGAATGTGTCCCAGGGCCTCTTCCCTTTCGTCCAATGGCAAGTGTTCTCTCTTCAGCAGAGGATGCTGTCGGTCAGAGCCGAGACCGGAGGGTGATGTCGTGGTGGCCCGGGCGTGGAGGTTTCACACGGACTCGTACTCGCGCTGCCACTCAGTGTAGCGTGCGCAGAGGGTCCGAGCGGATGGCTTGGTGTGCGCCAGCACGTCCAGCAGGTCGGCCGTGTGCAGCGTGTCCAGGCACAGCGCCGGCAGGGCTTCCTCTGGTAACGCCACCGCCATCCCGACACAGACAAAGTGCACAAGATGGAAGACGAGTGCATTGATCATTGTTTTTTCCTGGCCTATGACCACATCACCTGGAATGTGCCTGACTTCCATCAGATCTCAGGAGCTAAGCATAGGATGGATCCTGAATATTGCTAGGAAGGGTGACCTCCATGCATAGATTGTTATAGGCTTCGGCCCTATATGGTGGGCAGCAGAGTGCAGTGCTGCGAAATCCACTGGATCATATTTATATACTGCAACGAATATGGGACTGCCAACAACCAGTACAAATGAATAGCGAACCAGTCATTCTTACCCCCCACATCAATTAATTCACAGCTGCAACAACGGTGGCTTACGCAAAGCGAGACTTTGACAACAGCACTCCTCCCCCGGTAACTTGAAGAGTTGGGCTCTGCTGTCTGCCTCACCTGGCCGGTGGCTTTCCAGCGCGTCGAAGATCTTGCGAACGGGCCGCATCGCCGCCTCCTTGCACACGAGCAGGATGTCCGACCCCGAGTAACCCTCTGTCGCCTGTTCGTCCATCACAGACTTCTTTCATTAACAAGAGCTTTATAGCTCATCGTATTCCTCCAGTATAAACAAATATTCTGATTAGGAAGCCACTGGAGCTACACACTTTAAAATCTTGATTGAAAACGAATTTTTTTAGAACTGCTTTTTTTGTTTCGTTTGTTGTCCTTCCCACGCACCTCGGATTAGCACGATTGGCTATGTACGGTGCGAAAGAAGTTCAACATGCATACATACACGTCGTCACCGTCCGCGGTGACACCTGATACATTCCTCACTAAACATATTCAAGGTCACCGATCCAGACAGACCCGGCCGGCGACTGTCGACCCCCGCAGCCGGCCGGTTGCGGTGCATCCTTGCCTGAGCCAGCTGCTCATAGTCCAGCTCCGTGCGGATCTCCAGCCCCGTGCCGGAGTTGACGGGTGGAAGGTGGTGCAAGATCATGGCACGCCGGGCCGCCGCGCTGGGCAGGTCCACGAGGATTCGCTTCTCCAGCCGCCGCAACATAGCGTGGTCCAGTTCCCTACGGACACAAAGGCAACGATTCTCCTGGGTAGTCTGTTACAGGCTGCTGAGGCAAGTGCTGTTAGTTAAAACCCTATTGAGGCCAGAGCGGCAAACAAGAGCAGGGTGGTGTGGGTAACGCCATGCCTGAAGGCCTCTGTCTTTCCAGTGCTGATTTAAGGTTGAGTCGATCTAGAGGAGGCCTCGGACTGGTTTAGATATCGTTCTCCAGCGATGTTAACCATGGCTGAAAATCGAACTCAGGTGACCGAATGCGTGACACAGTGTGCTAAGCACTGCACCAGTAATCCCCACAACACCCAATCGGCCCACACCGAGACACAGTACTAACCTTCACCGCCTTGTGCACAAGCTTTGAATCTACAAAATTAGTATTGTTCCCGAGAATGTATTCCACGGTGCTATCGGTATCATGATGGAAACAAAGAAGTGCCCATTCAAGAGTCTTGCCGTGCGGTGCATTAACCCTGTGATAGAGAATGGCCCGAGGGATGTGATGGAACCATTTGTGAGATCCCTATCCACGCGAGAGGCACACTTCTCAACACGCCTTACTATACAGAGATCAGCCGTGCCCGCCGCAGGCTTACCAGGGCAGGTTTGATGCCGCCAACACAAACACAAGGTCGTCGGAGCGTGCCAGGCCGTCCATCTGAACGAGCAGCTCTGTTTTCATGCGACGGCTGCCCTCGTGTTCGCCACTGTGCGCTCACAAAACACGTGGCCGTACCGTGGTCTCGCTGCCTTTTGGGGCCCCTACGGTAAATGTGATTGTTGAACCTTTACAACTTTTTTTTTATTCATATTAGGCCCTTTAACATGAAACTTTTGGATGAAGGCCTTCCCACACCTTTCGGTCATGCGTGCTGTTGACCAGTACGGGCTGGTGACAGGCAGGTACTCATGACCAGTTCAGCTACCACTCGTCATTAATGTTAGCCGTCGGCCGGAATCGAACTCGAGTCGCCCTGGACGTAGCGCATTGCGTTAACCGCTGTGGCACTGCTGCACCCCATTCACTTTGTAGGTTATATTTGACTCACTGTAAAACCTGATTACGTTCGATGGACATTACGTCAGACAGATGAATATAGTCACCACCGGGCATAGCTTTAACTGGGCTGTGTTGCATAATTAGTGGTTGTACTGCACGCCCGAAGCGTAACTTGGGTGTGGTGGATTCTGCACAGATGTCGCCATCGCATGTTCAAAACATTCACCTGCATGTAAGTGAGGTGCCTGTAGAGGGCAGTATAGCAAGGTTTTCTACAGCAGAAACTGCTGCTTTCCTCCCCGTACAAAAATGCTCAAGTAAATGGCCAAATATCCGGAACACTTGTGAAAATAGTTCTTAAGACTCGGGCGTTATTTTAGAAATAAAACATCCTCATGCCATGAGGTCAGATTGGGGAGGTGTTCATCCAGCAGTAGCAAGATAGTGATTAGTGACGATCCTATTTATTTGATTAATTTATAATTCATTGCTGAACTATGAAAGTAATTTCTCAATTGCCAGACGTGGTGGCATATGCCTGTAATCCAAGCAGGGTTGGTGGACCACATATATACATAATCGCGTGAGACACACAGTTTGCCAGAGTTATGATGTGGCCTGTACATTGCAGTAAAGGTTGTTGGACGTTTTGGATTGTCTTCAGGCAATCATGTTTCCTCCTGCATACTAAAATACTCAAAGAGAAAATGACAAAATATCCCATGCCAATCCCTTGAAGAAAAAAAAAAGTCTGAGACTCAGTGAAGCTTTTCTTTAAATAAATAACTAAACGACTTTGTTTAAAGAGGCAATGCCCCATTGAGCTACACCATCTTATCAGCAGAAATGCTTTCTGCCTATCACTGAATTTATTTACAGAGCACTTTGTAACTCGCATTCCAATAGCTACCAGAGACATACTGTTCAGTGGATGCAAATGGCACACAGAGTGCAGCCTTAAACCTATCGCGTGGTCAGGGTCACTTAAGGGATTGTTAAAGGCCTGTGGGCAAAAATCCCATTGAGGCCCCCTTGGCCTTTTCTAAGGCCCACTCAGATCTAAGGCCTGGGGAAAACTGTTCCACCTGTCCCCTCCCCCACCACCATCCCCTCTGCGTCCGCGAGAGTGGCGTTGGCAAGGGCAATTATCTCACCCAGCGCCGCCAGCACCACGTTGCCCCATGACCGACTCCAGCTCGTCCAGGAAAATCGTAGACGGCGCATGGTACCGAGCCAGCTCGAATAGCACCTGCGGCACAGGGAGAGAGAACCCAAGCTAATCAAACTATTAGCATGGTTGGCTACGTACGGTGGGAAAGAAGTTCAAGTTCAACGTGCTCGCCGTGGCCACGGGGAAATAGAAGTGATGGTCACTGCCGGCAATGGCACCTTGACGAGTTTCTCCGAGTCTCCCCGCCACTTGCTGACTATGCTGGAGGCGGAGATGTTGAAGAAGGTCGTCTTGCACTCGGTGGCCACCGCTTTGGCCAGCATTGTCTTGCCGGTGCCTGTTGGAAGAAGGAAGGCAAACACTGGGGCACTCGGACAAAGCTAAAGATGTAGGAGCCAGGGTTGTAAAATCGCCTGGTCTGTAACATGGCTATTGAGATTCATGTTATTGCGAGTCAATTAAATGCAAGTGGCTGCCAGCCCACTTACTTGTGTCACCTGCTATGACATATGGATCAGGAGCATAGACATTGACAAATACAATTGAACAAAAGCTGAAAAGTGTGCAAAGTAGCACGAAAAGGATGCATGCTTTAAAATACGGGAAGAGGAACACATGGATGAGTGAACGTATGGACTAGTAAACACACACTGTGTGTGTATCATAGTGGGCAGGGTCATATTATCCAGTAGGCACAGTAGCCACTGTGCCTAGGGCCTACAAAAACTAAACGGCCTACGAAAATAAACTTACCATGTTGTTTTTTGTATGATAAAAAATGTAACTAAGATATCTTCTTGAACAAATGTATTTATATAGCAAGGATAGGCACAGTGTATGTACAAAGAGGCAGAGTCATGTAATGTTTGTTTAATATATAAGGTGATAGGAATTAACAGTATTATTTTGCTGTCTTTTCTTGGATTTTCTGTTTGCACTCAGTCACATATTCACTTTAAGATGTTTTTTGTTCATGTTTTTGTTTTTTGTTTGTTGCGGTTGCGCCCGATTCAAGAGCCGAATGGCTCACAGGGCTATACCTAATAAATTAACTTGAACTTGAACAGCGGAGATTAACTTTTTCGAGAATTTTTTATTTTAAAATTAGCAATAACATCTTCAAATGGTGTTGATCGCACAATCTCATTCTTAACAGAGAGTAGTGCAAGGGGGAAACGAGCATTGTTGTCCTACACGCGAAGCAAGCGAGTGACAGCGGCAGTAATAACATGGGTAGAAAGTTATCACTTAGAGCCTACAAGAACCTTAATCCGGCCCTGATAGTGGGAAATAACAAGTGAGTATCATGACATGTCTTATGCGAAGGTTTCTGTGCAATGCGGTGAGTATCTACCTGGTGGCCCATATAGCAGGAGGCCTTTCCATGGTGAGAGAATGCCGGTGAAAAGCTGCGGATACTAAAAACGCGATGCGATAAAGACAAAGGGCACAGTGGTTAGCGCACTGTGCTATAAACCCAGATACCCTGAGCTCGATACCTGTCCATGGTTAATGTTAGTGGGGAGTGATATCTGAATAGGTCCTGCTTCAACAACCATGACTGACACAATGGGGAGGCCTTCACCTAGAAAAACAATATTTACCAGCTAAGGCCCACTGAGATATTTAGCTCTTTATCAGAAGCGACCTGGCCACAAGTGATAGCTCAACGAAGTGGCTTATCGCGTGGAAATTATCGCAGCCAAATGCTCTAAATGCATTTTGATTCTAAATGTGGATGGAAAAACCGGAGGACCCGAATAAAAAATCCAAGCAACCACGGGGAGAACATACAAAAATAAATATACAGCAGGCGTCAGGGTTGGGAACGAACCCACGACCTCCTGTATACCGGGCGAGGTAGTTAACATCTCGCCACCCAGCAGGGGATTGACAAAGGGATGTGAATTATTATTATTATTGTTGTGAATAGTTTTTATTGCAGAATAACAAAACTCACTGTGGCACGAACTTCAGAATGATATTTGCTTGATGGCAAAGGTGGGCATATCACTAAATGCAGTCTGTTCTTCCCTCTGTGACTTCTACTTCCAAAGCTGATGAGTTACAAAATCTCCATTGCTGCTTTTAAGACCTTCAAGATCTTGCCACGCACTTCTTCCCTGACGTCATCTCTCCTGACTGGTCTTCATGCGTGATCATGTCCACTCTTAATACCACATTTCTATTCTCAGGGTAGTCACCCCTTCTTTTCTGCTGTTCCCCATGTGTGTCCACTAAATCCCAGCTCAGGTTCAAGTCCACAACATGTAGGGTTAATCATTCACCACTCCCTTTATACGGCATGTACGAATGCCCCTTGTCTATAGCAACTGTATCCTCATGCTAATTAACATCACATTGATTAATGTAATGGTATTGTATTCATGCTTACTCGATTTGTTCTTCCTTGACTCGAATTGCCCATGATTGGCCCTTATCATGCACCAACGTGCAAAAGCCATCCAGATAGTCATAAACCAACTTCAGATAGTCATGTGTACAGGGTATTTACTTTAAAACTGAAAATGGTATGCTATCATCACCCTTTGCACTGCTGAAGGCCTAACAAAAAGAATATGTTGGTGTTTATATATAGCTTAATTTGTGCCACTGCATCACGCAAGGATGCGCAATATGAAAATACTGTACGCAGCGCATATATTGCGATGTTTTCAGCCAATTAATGAGTGTTTATCCTGACACATTCTGCATCCTTAAACAAGTAGGCTTTACATGAATAGCGTTACCTTAATTGGATAGACAACAGCTTCTTTTACCAGACGCTTGGCTGCATCAAGGCCGATGATGTCATCCCACCTAACGTTGGGATTTTGCAGATAAATATCCTGGAAAATTGACGAACGAAAAAAGTTAAATCCACAATCATTATCTGCCAGCCTTAACGGTTTAAATGATTACGGATCGGTGGTACGTAACATCTTGGGGTGGTTTCTATGTTCTGGCAGTAAAAGTGACACTTGCAACTTTACTGTTTGTTGGTACGACACATTCAACGTAAGTGGTAGACAGTGTTCCAAAGGGGGTCACTAATGTTCAACTGGATAAATGGCTCGGATAAGGCCCCTAGGAATGCCCACGCAGGCAGCTGTTCACGTGTCCCCACACGCAAGCAGGCATTCCGGTGCACAACGTGCAGTGTGACACGTCTGTGCATGTCACACTGCAGCGCATATTTATTGTGCCCTTATCAGATTCTCGTGCGCAACTTGGAAGAAAAAACATCTGATTCTAAAACATGAATTGTGTGGTTGGAACGATTGTCACTGCACCACTTTTTTAGTCGGGGGCTCAAAGCCACTTTTTACACAACCCCCCTCTCCAAAGACAAAGATCCCCCGTATAGCCTCTACTAGATTGTTAGGGCAAGTGCTGTTAGCGAGCACCTATGAAGGCGAGCACGGCACACAAGGGGTTGGGTGGCAAGCACCACACCCGGCCTCATTTGTATCCCTAGTGCCGATGTTTACACACAGCACCAGGTATTCATTTGAGACTGAGTCGACCTAGGGGAAGCCCAGGATCGCACATACGCATAGTAGCACGCCATACTTCACCCACAAGCACAGCCGCATCCCGCACCCCCCACTCAAACGACATCGCTAACCTACATCACACAAGCAAGCACGGCAATACGCGCACACCTCCAATTAGCACGGTTGGCTACGTACGGTGGGGAAAAAGTTCAACATACATACCTGCTAAAATAGAGTCTAAACTCTTGAGACCGATTTAGTCTTTGACGAACTTGTTATTTTATCCCGATGTAAAGTTTTCGTGACTGCAGGAATACATACTCTTTGGGTCTTTCGGTAAAGTCATATATAATACACTGCATCACCTCTAAAGGAATCACCTGAAATGTGCATTAGCTCATTAGTTTTCAGAAGCTAAGCATTATTATAAATACCTTTTTTTAGGTTGTTGTCCTTCCCCCGCACCTACGATTAGCACGGTTGGCTACATACGGCGCGAAAGAAGTTCAAAATACCATACACACTTACACCAGCGACCCACACTTCTCCCACAAGCACCAAGGCAGTCCATAGTCTCGACAAAAGCCTGCTTACTGGCACAAACGAGTAAACAAATCGGCGAGCAAACAGAACAGTGGCCGGCACTGTGTGTGCTGGGTATTTACGTACTCTGCTGATAATGGAGGCCAGCTCCCTCATTTCTCCTGTCATCCCTGCAAACGCACCGAGCGGCTTCAGAAGACGGTCCTGCGACGACAACGACAGTGGCGACGTCTGTCATGGACTTGCTGTAGTGCGTCTGTCGCACGAGCGTGAGTGTATGCGATAACATGTTTTGTATGGATATCTGAACTAGTTCTGGGCTTTTTCTCGGTCCACTCAGCATTAAACGAGCACCTGGTGCGGCGTATAAACATGAGCACTGACGAGACAAAGGCTGCTGAGCACAGTGCATTGTGTGCGGTCCAGTCTTAATAGGTGCTCGCTAACAGCACTTGCCCCAACAGTCTGTAAAAGGCGAAATATACGATGTCCCTGTCTTTGTATGTGTGTGTGTGTGCCAGTGTAAATGCTTCGCCCGTACATGCACACACCGTAGGGTCGGGAGAGCATCCAGTGGAGCTGGTGGTGATATCTCCCGAGGCTGCACGGATGGCATCTCCGATCATGCTTCGAAAGTCGATGATTTGACCCTGAAGTACAAAGCTCAGGATTAAAGGCGCTGTAGCATTTTTTTTTATTTCAGGTGCATTGCAGTTGTTTCTTTTTGTTTAGCGTTTTGTTTCGGTGATGCAAGTCCCAGTGTGAACTTACTCACAAGTGGAGGGACGTGCTGAATATAAACATCATCAGTCGTTTATCCACTGCTAGATGAAGGACATCCCATGCCATTTCCATTACTCGTGGTCCTGTAATTTACGGCTTTAGGTGTTTGATAAGGAAACATTTGCTATAGATCCTGAAATAATCATGTTCTTTACACAGGAACGTCTCAAGGAGTTCCAAGACTTTTCAGGACTATCCTGCATTGGGATTGTTGACCAATTCCAAGCGTGAGGATTTGGTTTGTGGGAGGAAGCTGGTGTAACCAAAGGAATACTCGTCACGATACAAGTGGACAACATACAAAGGCTCACACTCAGAGATAAAAAAAACAATTGCTGAGCTACCATCTCCTGACAACCTCACAGCCACTTTTAGAATGTGTTAAGAATGCTGTGTGCCACACCGCGCACAAAAGAAACCATCACATTCAATTTGATTCTGCACATTTGGCTAAACTCCAGCTTTGAAAATCACAAATATAGATTTGACTATATTCATATTATTGGATCTTTCGGTAAAGTCACGTAGATAGGAAATTAAAAATAATAAAATAAATGTTTTTTTTTATAAAATAAAAGCAAAAAACCCACGACGTTTCGATCGCAACACAAGCGGTCTTCATCAAGCGGAGAGAAAAAAAAGTTTATTTGACTGTCATGAGAAAACATTACTCTCCATGGCAGGGTAAGTGTAAAAGTGCTGGCTCCTGAGTGTGTGAGCCAGAGGTCACTTGACGAGATCTCAAAGGGAGCCACAGTGGCGAGATGTTAACTACCTCGCTTGGTATTCAGGTCGTGGGTTCGATCCCGACCCAGACCCTGATGCCTGTATATTTGGAGTTTGCATGTTCTCCCCATGGCCGTGTGGATTTTTCTCCGGCTGCTCCGTTTTTCACCTCCACGTTTAGAAACATGCATTTAGAGTATTTGGCTCCGAGAAATTTCCACGTGATAAGTCACTTCATTGGCCTATCATTTGTGGTCAGGTCGCTTCCGAAAAAGAGCGATATAGCTCAGTGTCCTTAGCTGGAAAAATAAAAAATAGTTTAGTTTAATTTAAATCTCTAATATCCTTTTTTTTTACATGAGCCATTCTCTAACACAAATTATTGCACTGCTCTGCAAGACATGTGGATGGACACTCCGTCTCATGACATGACGCCAATAGCACAGTCGGTATACATTTTGGAGAAAATGTTAACGGAGGGAAAAGAGCGCGCTGGTTCCTTACACGCCTGTGAGGAGGGGCGCTTCCTCCCATCGTCCTGCCAATCGGCGCTACATTCAACCCGAAATCCGCTTCGGCAGGAGTAGGCTGTTCAGTGGCCTCCTGCAGGAGTCAAACATAAGCAAGGACAACATACGTGACCACAACGGCACCGGCAAAGGTTACCAAAGGTGTGCACAAAGAATTACAGGACAGATTTTTCAAAAGGTAGTAGTTTTCACACGAAAAATCAAACGGAAAAATCACAAACGCGCGTGGATCATCTCGTGCTTTCCAACATGAGTTTGCGCTGGAAGGATTTAATTGGCGATCAAAACAGCAGAGCTCATGCCAAGCACGCAGAGAAGCAGTTAATTAGTAGCTGGCACTGAGACGATAAAGCTTTGATATCGGCTCTAGCCCCCCGGTTGGCGGGAGGGCACATGCAACCGTTTAATCAATTTGGATCATTTTCTGTCGGGCAAGTTCTTGATATTAACACAATGTCACACTCAAGTTTCATTCAAATTGGATCATCCTTGCAAGGGTTATCGCGTCTCCCCCCATCCCCCCATTACAGACAAATGGACTAACCGCCGGAGCCATTGCACAAATAATTTAACATTAGTTGGAAAGCATTTATTTTAAATTATGGGTTTATGCTACATTTAGCGAAGAGGACTTATGACATAATGCATGTGAAGTACTTGGAATGTGATGTACCAGTTATGAAGAACATTTGAGGCATTTATACAAACATCTAAAAGAATAGTTTGATTCAGAGAAAGCCTATATTTAAAACAGAACACCCATTGAGATAATGGGTCTATTTATAAGTGACTTATTACCATATGTTCGGGCAGCTCAAAGAGGAAAAACTGTGAAATGTAAGTTGAGGATTTAATCGATTACATCCACATAATTAGCCTTGAGAATCGAGTGTGATCTGACGGTTTGCAGTCCGAATGTAAACATTTGATAACAAAAGCACAAGGCTGAGAAACACAAATGCATTTTTTCGTGTCCCTTCCATTTAACACTTAAAAAAACACATGGTTACCAATGTGCATCAATATTTACAACGTTAGGCGTTTTGATAAGGAGACATTTGTTAAACAATCCTGCGTGCCGCTTTTTCAAACTAAAAAGGCTTGGCTGCCTGCCCAAGGACATACGATGTGATAATTAAATATTTGTTGGTCATGCCTCGCCAATAATATCAGTGCGTGGAAAGCCCTTTATTTTCATTGAATTAAATGTCATGAATTCTGGAGGTATTCCCATCTCTTATTACGGTTACTGTTATAATCATCACCGTTAAAACCACCGCAGGAACCTGACACTGAGAGCACAGAGCACGCATTCATGAACACCGTTACATTTAGTCGATTCCCCAGAAGAAAAAACACAAATATCCAGCGTCGCTAGCTCCGTAAGCAGCTGGCTAGTCTTGCAGTGAGCCTTGTGGCGATTGCTCACCACTAAGCCAGTCTGCACAGCAGTACTTACGGTTTCATTTCCTCATCTGCTCAGTAAGTTTTATTGAGCGTTCCAACGTAAAGCATTGCGTTTATGTGGATGTGAAAGACCTTGCGAGATCACTTGCAAGAATAAGCCACTCTTTGTCATATGCGAAAATGAACATCTGGTGGCTCACCTGAGCTCTCAGTCGTGGACATTCCACATCACTAAAGGACAACGAATAAGTGATCTAGCTAAACACATGTATGGTAGGCACCTGGCGCTGACCGTTTTTTTGCGCATGCACAGCCTACACTGCCGCCGCTGACCATGTGATAATACTATTAAACCTCAATGGGCTCTCACCTAATGAAATCAGGGGCCTCCTAGTACGCTTAATGGGTGGGTGAGCCGCATCCAGGCGGCAAATGCTCTCAGGATCAAACCACCTCTACGACCCAGTTGTCCACTGTACGCCCGAACAAACGCCATTACAATTAAGCCTTTCCCGTTCCGAGATGACTGAAAGTTGCAGGGTGGGGGTCCCTCTCACCGCTGAATCTCGGAACGCGCAAGCAGTTCAGCGTAAATTTATTTAGAGGCATAGCGCCGTTGTTTTTAAATACATTGTACTCCTTGTACTCACCACAGAGAACTGATGACGTACACGACCGCACTCTATGATAGCTGACACCAAACTGTGCCACACGTCCTCCTGCATGGCCTTGTGGGAGCCTCGTTACTGTACATACACAACCGCACTCTATGATAACTTGCGCCAAACTGTGCCACATGCCCTCCCACATCGCCTTGTGGGAGCCTAAAGCTCGCTGCCTTCATGTACGTCATCAGAACAGGATAGGGTTAAGCCCTGTGCAAAATGTAGCATCGTGTTGCTCGGTGTCGAGGAAGAGGGTGGCCACACCTGCCGAGCACCGTCCTTTACTTGCGCTGCCTTCTTGGCTCCGTACTGGGATGGCGGGCGTTGGCTCATGCCGATCCGCGGCAGGGGCTGCGACGCATTGCTCACTGCTCTGTGTGGTGCGATCGACGAGGGAGGAGGAAAACAACCGTTAAATCGTTAAAAAAAAAATGTTTTACTATTTTTATTTTACCAGGTAAGGTCCGAGCTATATAGCTCTTTTTCAGAAGCGACCTGACCACAAAAGATAGCTCAACAAAGTGGCTTATCACGTGGACATTTCTAGGAGCCAAATACTCTAAAAGCACGTTTCTAAATATGGAGGGAAAAACCGGAGGACCCAGGGAAAAATTCACGCAACCACAGGGAGAACATGCAAACTTCAAATATACAGTTGCCAGAGTCGGGATCAAACCTACAACCCGCCGTATACGAGGCGAGGTCGTTAACATCTCGCCACCGTGGCGAGCCCACGTTATGTGCACGGCACTTTTGGCAACCCACTGCAGGATGAGGACCTTCCCATGCCTTGCAGGTTGTGGGGGGTTATTTGACTGTACTTCATTTATTTAAATCTAATTAATTAATTAATTTTCAGCCTTGCTTACCTTTTCTCTAGTTTACACTCATACATAAAGGTTTTTGGGTTAGATCGCGTTATTTATAAATATCGCAACCTTCCACCACCCGATGATGCTGGATGTATTTACCAGCGAAACGTCATGCTCAAAAATTGTAAATGTTGTGTATTCACTCTTCAACACACCGGTGGGCTAAAGCAGTGAACTATTTGTCTTTTGTCAACGTGACACATTTTTTACTGATTGGCCGTTTCGGGTGGTGGAGGGTTGCGACACATTTATAAATAACACGATCTCACCCAAAAACCTTTATTATGAATAATATTGGTCGCGGAAGCCTACGTGTTAAATTACACTCCTATAGTTTGTTTCTATTGATTGTTGTTGTAACTCGTTGACCCACTCCTACTGGACATCTGTGAAAAATAGCTTCATAGCTCATCGGATTCCTCCAGGTTAAATAAAGATTTGGATTCTGTACTTCAGCACACCGGTCGGTGTGGGATGGTGAAGGCAGCGAACATACAATTGGAACACAGACGTACAGTCGAGCAATAGATGTTACTGCCCACAACATGGCCCACGCCGCCTTTGACACATGTTTTGTGCATGGTCGTCACCTATTAAAATCTGATTAGTTTCAGACATCTGATGAGAATAGGTACATTCCAAGTGATTTTGTCATATCAAGGGAAAACATTCTAACAAATGTAAGGAAGTATAAATTAAAACGTAAGTGAAACATCATAACAACTGGAGCACTAGACGTCATATAGAGACACGATGCACAATTTTTTAATATGCATGTACGTGCAAATAACATAGTTTAAAAGAGATCTGACGACATAGGCAAGTAATTCCAGTAAAAAATACTTTTAAAATCTACTTCGAATTTTTTTTATACGTAACTATATTTTGTAAAAAAATTACAATACTCTATTTCTTAGCAACATCACATTACCAATTACAGTCGTGAATATGATACAATCAAAAGACCTTGATAAGAATTGAGATACAATAGAGCAATTAATCAAACAAATATATTCAACCCCATTATGATTATAACCTACAGATTTCTGTTTTAAATTTTCAGTGTTTCTCGAGAATGTGTAAGATTTTTACAACTCGTCCTTTGTGAACCACTATTGTGCTCGCAGACTCACAAACGCACAGAGCTTCCCGTTGGGTTGCGTTAAACGCAATAATTGGCGCGCTCGCGAGAAACCGCGGCCTCGATACCGCCGTCACAAAGGGACGGCGTAGGCACACCGTGCTCTGAGTGCCACGGAAGATGAATTTTCCTAGCGGTCGCGTGGCCTCGGAAAATAAATCAACCGAGTGCTAACCACGCGCGGTGCAGGTTGCCGCCATTGCGTCGCCTCTGCCGACCTCGTGTGAATAGCGGCAGAAATTACCTTCTCAGCTTGCCTCCGGATTTCAAAGGAAATCTGCAGTTTTCCGCTGTGATCGAAAAAGAAAATACATAAAAGGTGTAAAAAAAATGTAAGGAGCTGCATTGATGGTCATTAACACCGCCTTATATCAGAAAAGTATATAATTGGCTGAATATTTGGGCAATGGCCCTTTTTTCAAGCAATGTTAATGAGTGTGGTAATTTTTTATTACGTCAATATATTAATTATCTCATTTTAAAAACGTGCAACTTATTACCCGTTGGCATACCACGGCAAGGGCAGCAGAGTCAAGGATACAATTGTAAACGTAAAAAAGAATGGGAAAGAGAAGAGAGAAGAGAAGAGAAAGAATGGAAAATAAGAGGAAACGGATGGAAAGGAGTGGAAAAACTGGAAGAAGGGTAATGACAGATGAGGATCGGGAGGAAGAAGCGATATAAGGGCCTGGACATTGCAGGGAGCAGCATGTGCCTTACAGGAGGCGAGGAGAAGGGAGGCATTTGGAGTGGGGGTTGCCACACACAAGCAATTTTATTCATGGGAGGCTTAAACTGATTTAGATATATAGATGTATAGGTTTTTTCGGTAAAGTCACGTAGGTAAAAATAAATAATAAAAATAATAGAAATAAAAATATCATATTAGAAATAAATAAGAATATATTAATCATATTTTTAGAAATGATAATACTATTTCTATTATTTTAATTATTTATTTTTACCTACGTGACTTTAATACTATTATATTATTATTTCTATTATTTTTATTATTTATTGTTACCTACGTGACTTTACCGAAAAAACCTAAGAGTATGATTCCTTGCAGTCACGAAAGCTTCAAATCCAGAATGTATAAAAGACAGCTGTGAATGAACACAGCAGAGTCTGTATTTTACGACTTACTGTTCTCTCCCAGCTTTTTGGTTATTTTGGGATATTTTTGGAACTTGACGTAGTAGTATGACTCGTACTCCATCATGATGGTCTCCAGGTCCACGTTGTCGCACACTTCGTAGCGCTGCAAGCTTGCGTTCGTTTCCTGTTCCAAGGCGCTAGCGGTGCTCATGTATCTAGGAAACAGAGCTTGGTATTGGCGTAAGTGTGGAATATCCTGCAAAGTGATGTATTCATTTCCATAATGTGCCATTCGTAAATCTTTCAATTCGCACATCCGATGAACGCCAATGTAAATAAGATGGGATGTCCCAAAGTAGCGGAACATTTCTAAATAACAGCAGAGTACAATTTGAACACAAAATACCTATGGTAATCGCAGTATTGCTTCAATTTATTCAGACATTTTACTTTCAAAGAGTACTATTTTATATTGCAGAACATGCGGATGAACACCATAACTATAGTGGATGTGTTAATAAAGTGGATACACAATACACACTTGGTTAAGGGCACTGCTTCAGGTGCAGGCATTTCAGAAACACTTTTTAAAGGTGTATTGATTAATGGTTGACATTGATTCAATTCACTTAGAGACATGCACAGACTTTATGCGGTTCGCAGGTGAGGTTAAGCGAACGGCAAACGCCAAACACAAAAGACAACCATTGGAACCTCCTTTGCCAGTAGCAAAATATGATCATTGGTTGTGTACCCTTTTATCTGGCAACAAAACTGACGCCTTTTGGCGTCATCTGGTCCAACACCATTTGAGACGAGGCTCTAAGAAAGCTGTCTCGGGTGTGGACCAATCAATTTCAAGGACAGTGCATACATTATCAGAGTTGTGTTTTTTATTTGCATTCCGACCGCAGGTATTATGGTCAATGCAAACATGACTCCTTGTAAAAAGGTGTCAGTTTTGTTGCCAGATAAAAGGGTAAAAACAATTATTACGAGACCATTTAATATCACAAGTCGAACCGTTTTGGTAGCATAACACCACTCGTTTATTGACAGTGTCTCTATGCTTCAATCGTAGTCAAACTATATTGCGTAACACAATATAGCTTTTGGCGGGACGGTATTTCAATTTCTAAGATATATATTTCACAATCTCACTGACACACTACAGTACAGTTGCACTGTACGAGTCACTGATCTGAATTCCAGATATCCGTGCAACCACTTCACAATGACAAGCCTGGACATGGGCAGTCACTTTTCAGATGAATCTGGCTTTTGTAAATGTCTCCACTTTGGGGCCGATTCAATTACTGGTCAACGATTGTTTTCCTGACAACGTGCGTGCCTCTCGAAATGGCGTTTGCTCACCCGCTGTCCGTCAAGTAGTGCAAAATGAGGACCAGCAGATTTTTTCGGCGAGCTTCTGTCCTGAGCTCATCCTGTGGGAAAAAAAACAGAAGGCCCCATTGCATTAAAATGACAGTAACGTCGTTTATATTACCCAGGGAATTCTCACCGTATCAACGCTCTTTTTGAGGAGGGTTTGCAATGTTTGATCAATTTCGTGAGCATTTCAGATTCAGAATATTTTTGTTATACTGGAGGAATCCGATGAGCCATGAAGCTCTTTTTTTACAGATGTCCAGTCGGGGCGAGTCACAACGTTACAACAACAAACAATACAAAAACACGAGAGGAGTTTCAGAGTATAGGAAAGATAAACAAATCACTTACAAAAAGAAACAAGTAAAACTAAACATTGTTTTTCTTACCAGGTAAAGCCCACTGAGCTGTTTACTTATTTTCATAAGCGACCTGGCCACAAATGGTAGCTCAACAAAGTGGCTCATCATGTGGAAATTTATAGCGGCAAAATAAGCTATTTAATTTCATATGCGAGCAAACCCACTTACACTGCTATCTCCAGAACACCTCTCAGACCCACATCTACAACACTTGGTAACCTCTGGTGGCCGAAGTACTATCAAGGCTCATACCTGCTTAGTTCTCGAGAACTGACAAGATCGGTTCATTTTATGGTGGTTTGATCGCAGACATTAGTGCTGGCACGTTTTTATGTCAGATTATTCAATGTATTGGAGATATTCCTCAACATAACAGTCAATTCTCTAATTACAACCTGGGTTTAAAGAAAGTAGTATACAGCATCAAAAAGCATTGATAAAAGTGCAAAGCAAATATAACAATTAGGGGTATAATAATGCACCCCCACCCCCAAAGCGACCGATTAATCGTCACGATTCTTGGCTGTAATTAGATGAAAGAATGTATTTTTTTTCATTGCAGACCCGAATGGCTGCAGGGGTCCTATTGCTCTATTAAAGACAACATATACAAATTGAAACATCAATTCCAACACACATTATTGTATGCATGTATTATTAACTTCAGAAGTGATATTAATCGATGGATCAATCCATTATGTGTATATACATAAAAAAATCGTTATTGGGATGTTTCAGTGTTTCCTGAAAAGCTAAGCATATTTGTGTATATACAAAAAAATCGTTATTGGGATGTTTCAGTGTTTCCTGAAAAGCTAAGCATATTTGAGCCCGAATGAATAGTGATTGGATGAGTGATCACCATGCACACAAAGATTGTCAAAGGGCTGTGTTCCTATGTGGTGTGCAGTAAAGGGTAGTGCAAAAACATTAATTGTTGTACTGTACTTCTATGCTTCCAAATCTATGCTTTCCACCTTCAATCCGCATTGACCAGAGGTAGTGATGTACAGTCAAACAATCCCCATGACATGTACGGGTCTAGCAGTGGATTGACTAAAAGGGTGCATATATTAAGGAGAGCAAGAAAATGTGAATTTATCTCATTTGTCTTCACGCATGCCACAATGAGTTTTAAAAATATGTTTAAGAGGTGGCAATACTGTTACATTTGCCTAATTGTATTCATATACTGATTCGATGTAATCGGTTGTTAGGACTTAGGGAGAGTCTATTATGACAATAAGCCACATTCTATGGAGTAAACGCAAGGAATTCAAATTACAAGGGCTATTTTCAACACTGCACTCACACATACTCAAGTAACAATACAGTGCAAAAGCACACCATCCAAACTTACACACCACAAGCTTTATTACAAAACTGTATTATGATAATGTGTTCACGCTCTTAAACATACCCAAATAAAACAACACGCAATTTATGTTATGATGTACAGTGTAATTGTTCACATTTGAATACATAATTTGGTTAGCTACTTCAGCATCTGGTGTTATTCGTTTCTACATTTACATCAAGATTTGATATAGATATCATCTGTGAAATGAAATTATATGGAGAAAATATATGGATGATATACGAGAGCAGATGTACTGCATTTCAATTGTGCGTTGTTCCAAAATTCTTTATTTAAACAGCAAATTGGAAATCATCACATGGACTGTGACGGGCATACTAATAAGGTAAGCACTGTCTCAGGCCAAACTGGATGGGCAGATTAAAGGAAGACGTGAACCAAAAAGACACGTAGCGCTTATTTCATAATCTTCTATATATATGTTTAAGCTGTGAATTCCACACTGTCCAACAAAAGTTTTCAGCTTTCTTCATGAGATAACAGACTTTAAAATCACGGTCAGGGGTACTCTCACTGCGTCAATTATGTATCTAACTGTATGGGAGCAGCATCACACTGATATCATGAGAGTGCCATCATGAGACGCTTAGCTGTAACTTAAACATTGTGTCTAATAGCCGATGGATTAATATCTAAAGATGATAGTTATTTTTGCATACGTCTTCCAATATTGACACTTACAGCCTCCCTGACTTGGTTTGCAGTCTTGATGGCCTGGTAGGACATCTCCATGGTTGCAGAGTCCAACCTTTCACATGGGCTCTATCAGGTAGAACTGACAGAGAAGTGTCTGGCAAGGGAATAGAGCACATGCATTTCAGATAGGGTATTTTAGAACGATTGATGCGCCCTAATTTAACCAAATGAGAGCCCAATGAGAGCTACTGTTTTGCAGGGGCATTCCTGAACACGTTAAATATGAGCAGTTGTCATTCATTACAATTTTATTGCAGGGAATTATTTTGGTTTTGACAGTAGGAAAAAAAGCCTCTTCTCAAAAATTATTGCCACGTGGTATGTAGTGTCCAATTCATAGCAGAAGGGATGTCTTGGTATTTAACATCTACCACAAAATACTTCCCTTACAATCTTCAATATTGCTGTATGGACTCACTCCTGCCTATCCCTCTCCTCTCATCTCACTCTACTGCTTTGCTCTTACCTCCAACTAATAAGGCCTTCTCTCATAACCTTCTATCAACATCCGCTCAATGTGAAGTCAATCCTTCTCTGGCGGTGCCCCCGTATTCTGGAATTCCCTCCGCTAGCAAAACATAATGTGCTGTCAAATCTCTACTTAATTATATGTTCAAGTTTTCCTCTTCTGCTTATGACTGACTTTTTCCTATGTATGAAATGTCTACATGCACACATACTTTTAAAAAATACAAACCTCCCTGTTCCAGTATTTCCCCTGATGTACAAATCACAACACATTGTACAAATGCGGACACATTTTTTAATACTATAAAAATGCAAATGTTGTATTTTAAGTTGGCGTGGATGCAGGAATTGAACTTACCAAGTGACAGTTGTGCATCTGAACTATTTACACAAGCAATTACAACACCTGCCAACTCTTAGCAACAAGAGTAAGGTAATACTCCTTTGAGAGTTAGTACAGTCTGACTATATCTGCCATCCTTCTGGGACACAATTAGTGTAACATCATTTTCAGATATGGCGTGGTTGATTGTACATCCATCACCCTGTTGGGATATAATTAGAGATGACACTCCTTTTAAGCGAGGATGATTCTCCTGTGTGTGTCTCTTAATTTGTAAACTGTCTGTGATTTGATTCATAGCCCTGTCTATTTTGCTTTGATTTGATTTCAGTTATTGCTGCTGCAGAGCCCAGCAGTTAGCTTACACTGCTATGTGGCAGGTTGTAAGTGTTCAGTTTTAACAACGCCAATTGGGCTCAGCAAATTATTACACAATAATACCAGAATCAGCTATAAACGTGGATATTTAACATCCTGTGGCATCAGTAATAGCAGATACTTTGTCCAGCAAATCGGTGCTGTGGTGAGCAGAGTGTTTAACTCACAATCAGAAGGTTGTATGTTCAAAACCCTGTCAGGGGTCAATTCCGCCAACCATCATCATCATCTCTCTGGGGTCAATATTTCAGTTTCCAATTGTTGATAAGTCAACATTTATCATCAAATGAAGTGACTGGTGGCCCTCACCGTTGGAGATTCACTTTTCCCAATTGTTAATTTGGCTTTGACTTGACTTTCAAGACAGCCATATTCATATAATAACAATATGTTAACAGATATTTTTTGTGTCACTCCAGTTGGTGACGAAGGTCTCCCAAGGCAATGTCCGTCGCGGGGGTTGTTGGACAATACTACACCATGTTTGTCATTGCACTTCGTTGAAGGGCATCATTCGCCACTGATGTTAGCTGTGGCTGGGTATCGAACTCAGGTCGCCAGGTGCATAGCTTTAGTGAAGTGGTTCTTAACCTGGGATGCACGCACCTCCTAGGGGTTACGAGATGCCCGTTCTGGGGGGTGCGAGACATGGCAGATTTTTTTTTGAAGGTAAATCATCGACATACAAATTGAACACGGGCACGTAAGTACAACTACTTTGTTTCATCAAACCTATTGACATAAAACATTTTTACGATTGAGAACCAAAGGGGTGCAAGGCTGCAGTAAAGGTTCAGAACCACTGCTTTAGTGTGCTAACTATTGTGCCAACACCTCACCCCCATATCCATATACAGTACAATATCTTCCCCATGCCAAGAAAAGTTCCTAATATGTTTACGAGGATGATGGGTCCTGTACTGAGCTAATGCGCTACCGTTCGAATAATGCCAAACTGCTGCATGGCAATACATTTTGCAGATTATTATTCTAAAACTGCTTTTCACCTGCTCTTGTCGCCGTGTGCATACCAGGTGCTCGACATTTGGTGTTTGATAATCCACTCCAGATAGCAGTGGAGCGTCAATTGCAAACACAGCTGTATACAAACCCTTCAGCTCCGCATCACCTGTGTGCCCTAGCAGGCGCTTTGATAAAAGTGCAAAGAGACATTGCTGGTGCCAAGATGTGCATACACGTACATGAAACAATATAGATTTTTTTTAGATACTATAACCAATCATATTGTGCTTATAATGTTAGCATTTCAAGAATAGCTTCTTTTAAAACATATTTCCAGCGCATATGCTCGCTTGGGGAAATAGTTGGCATTTTAACCATTCCCAATAACAACATTTCACTGTTAAATTAATTTGCACAACACATCTCTGCCCTCTGCAATTAATCCTCGGATTACAACCTAAGGGGTTCTCTTCGTCGGAACTAACAAAGGAGTGACAACCAAAGGAGTATGACCGCCACGGAGGAGGAGAGATGAAACCAGCCGGTGGATGTGTGTGCTTGATGGATTGTTGCATCAAGGGGAGCGGTAGCGTTCTCACGCTGCCTTACGAACCGCCGCTAGCAACACCAGTGACGATGATCTGAACATGGTCCTGGGCCTCGCCTTGGTCGACTCAGCCTTAAACGACGTGTAAACATCGCCACTGGGGAGACAGAGGCGGGTGGGTGCTGGCCACCCACCGCCTCGTGTGGGTGCTACTCGCGAACAGCACTTGCCCAAACAGTCTGTTAAGGCTATATGGGGGATTTTTTTTTTATGGATTGTTGCAGGGGTGGACAGCCTCTCTCCTGACTCATGGCCAAAAGGACTTTTAAATGCCTTCGGCGGGCCACTCTCGAAAAAACACACCTCTGTCCCTTCTGTAACAGCAAATAGCTCTCTTGCTGAGATAGCAGTGACTGAAAGTGAGAACGTTGCTGCAGCCAGGTATACAATCTTCCCTCAGTACCCCATTAGGGTGGCTGAGATACGGATAGATATCGTGCACGGGTCTCGGGTATTTAATGAAGTCGCGGCCCATACATTTTCCACCGTGGTTTTTTAATTTGCAAACCTTAAACTCATCTGACACACGTGCAATTTGCACAGTGCTGCCGCTCTGGTGATATGCGTTTTACTGAACAATCACAAGCTATAAAACATCCACAATAATGCGTAACATTGTCATAGTTACACGTTTGAGAAGCTGTAAGGTTTTTTGGTTTGTGTAATCCATACAGTTCAAGACAACTGTCGTTATAATTACACACTCATTGCACTGCTGAGCCGTATTAACTTCCATTGAAAGTCTTCCGAGTAAACAGCAATTATAACTTACAACTAAAGTGCAGTATATTCTTGGTTCTTTCGGGAAAGTCACGTAGAAGGGAAATAATAAAATAATAATATTTTATATGAATCCCTGCAGTCACGAAAGCTTTAAATCAAAATTTAAAGTGCAGTAGTTTCACCGACATTTGCAAGTAGTAATAATGCAAACAGTAATATAATCCACTGCTGATGCACAGTCTACTACTACCCACGCCGTATCGATCATAGGGGTTGAACTATTGATCAAGCACGAGTTGGTAACCGGTTAAAGTTGCCCCATGACTCATTCACAGATCAATCGCCACTGATGGTAGCCGTGAATTGAACTCGGCCTGCCCAGGTTTCATAGCGCAGTGAGGCGAACCACTGCGCCACCCCTCCGCTTCCTTTTAAACATGCCCGGTGTTTAATATTTAGTCGATTAGCATTTGTTTATTAAGTTGCATCCATTCATCTCCTGCGAATGGGACACGTGGGGGGCCTATGCAGAGGTAGCAGTCGGCGGCCGCGCGTCAGTAAACTCGTTATTACTGCAAGAAGAAAGTACATTTCTCGCACATATATATAGCCCTTTATTAATATAACTGTGTCAATTCGTAATTGTACCCCCCCCCCCACCAACTTAAACACGAACGTAATTTAGAGCACGAACTGTACCGTCCACCAAGAGCATCCGAACCCGTCACCGTTAGCGACGCACGACACAGCTGCCATGGCAACCCTGCGCGATGACGTCACCGCAACAGACCGCGCGGGTGGCGCGATGACGTCACACCGCGACGAACCGACACGGCGGATGCGCGGTGACGTCATGGCGCGCGACGTTGCGCGGGCTGCCCCCGCCTTGTGACGTCATCACGCATTGCGGCTTTAAAGAAGCGTGTGAAGAAGGGCCGTTGCCCGAAACGTCGCCGATTATATACTTTTGTTTCCGACTTATTTTGAGGCCACAGTGTTGTTGATGAATGTGTTGGAGTTTTGTTGTTGTTGTTGATCGTCACCATATAACGAAATTGCCTTTACTGGGTGCAGTGCAGGTTGTGCACGAAACGTCGTACAATGTCCGGTGGTGTTAAATTCGGTCGAGAAACGTCTTAAGCTGCCAGTAAGCTTTATTTGATCAATATATTGGCATGTATAAATAACAATTTAAAACGCGACAGTCTTGTCGAGTGGTTGAGGGTTAACGAGAAGAATTTTTTATGCACAATCTACGCGGCCTAATAAAGGAAAGCTGTGAATTTGGTCGGGTTAAGAGCCAACAGTTTATTTCTTATTAAAGTTAAAAGGAACATATATGTACAATATCTCATTTATGGTGGGAATTCCACGTTTCTATAGCTAGGACACGTAAAAAAAATGTTCGACGAACTTACGTGACTTAATTTACTCTATTTTTTAAAAACTTGACTCCAAATTTGCTACCATTATGCTAACTAACATTTACAGCAAATTTTCATAGGACGTGATTACGAATGTCATCGGCGGATTGGGATCAGAATGGTGAATGAGGTCAGCGAGAGGTATCTCGGGTGCTTATGGCAAGCTGAATTTGATAATGAAAAGCAAAATAGAGTACCAACGTGGCCAGACAGCGAAAGTTTCAATAATATGCAGATATTTATTGCTACATGGATTTGAAATATAGACACTAACACAGGAAATTAACAACGTAAAAGTACAGGGCGGTCCAGATGTCTTGTGACCCCTACTTAAAAACCTAATTTTTTAAAAGGTTTATTTAACCATAAATGAATATACAAAGGAAAACGATGTGAGTGGTCAATTAATTGGGGGTCACACGACATACGGGCCACCCTGGTACACTGCTAACACGGTTGGCTACGTACGGTGCGAAAGAAGTTCAACATATTGAGGATTGCACTGAGCGACAGAATAACACAACAGCCAGAGAGCCAACACGTAAATTAGTCATTGGTGATGGTCCATCGATTGATGGGCCGATGGACGAGTAATGGCAACAGAAAGAAGGAACGCCCAGGAGGATGACCACCACGGCGATGGAGGGATACAATCAGCTCATGTGCACGATCAAGATAGATTAAGGCATCTTGATATTTTTTTTATTTAAAGCTTTCGTGACTGCAGGGATTCATATTCTCGGTTCTTTCGGTAAAGTCACGTAGAAGGGAAATTATAAAATAATAAAAATATAAAACAATCAAAATTATCACGACGTTTCGACTGCAACACAAGCAATCATCATCAGGTGTGAAATCCACAGTTCAAGACTACTGTGGCTGTGGATTTCACACCTGATGATTACTGCTTGTGTTGCAGTCGAAACGTCGTGAGAACTTTTATTGTTTTATATTTGTATTATTTTTTTATTCCCCTTCTACGTGACTTTACCGAAAGAACCAAGAATATGCATCTCGATATTGTGAAGGATGGCCGTGATGTGAGGGGGCCTTGATCCAGCAGGTGAATCGACCGTGGTCCATCGATTATGGTGTGAACCAGTATATTCGTAGGACGTAAGATTCCCACCCGGTTGTGCATTTTAACTTGGTTCTGACCCAGCCCCATAAAAATCAACGCTCATTGGGGGTTATATCCTGCAATTCAGTATTTATGGGTATAAAATATGGATATAACGTTCCTGGGAAAGCTTGGGTATTGCTCCTGTTCATCTTCCACTAATCTTCCAGGGTTAGGTTTGAAGTCAACGACCATTGTTAGGCAAATATGCATGACTACGGCACTACATGGAATATTAAATAGAGCTGGTAGTGAGCTTTGTGCATAAGAAATGTTTATATTTGACAGTGCAATCCTGTCGAGCTGCATGTCGTATAACTGAACATTTCGTGGAATTTGTTTGCACTTGGCAACACGCTTGAACATTTTTTTTACCACGATCGTCTCAACGACTGTAGCGGCAACACACTTTAAATGATTAATTTTGCTGTAAGCCTTTGTTCCTGACAACAGTGGTAAACTATTGTTTTTTTTCCACTGAACCCATCCCCCCACGACACTTCACCCATCAGCTTACCTCTGAGACCCCCCCCACCACCCACTGTCCTCTTGGTTCCCCTACCCCCAAATTAACCTCCCTCCAGACCACCACCAATCCCTCTGGATGCCATCAACATAAGCAGCCATGATTATTCCACTGCTGGATGAAGGCTTCCCCGCAGAGAGACACTATGCATGCACAGTACATGATGTGTACACAAGGACCCATAAACTCCGTATTCCTTCAATGACCCCTCCGCCTACAGATCCCCCAGCAGACCC